GTACACTTTGGCCTGTCATGATTTCAGCAACCCACTTTTACCACCCTTTACCTGCATATGTCACAGTTTGAACCCAGGACCTTTTGCATGGAAAGCAGGTGCTTTACTGCCCACCTCCAACCTTTACTAAGAAGTAGCAAGCACAGGAGACTTGTTAGGAAATGTTGCTGACTTGATTTAGCATGTGTATATGCCTGAATAGTGGTCTAGAAGTGTATTAACTTTGCAATATCAATCAGTACCCTTATACCCATACTACAGCTGTGTCAAAGAGAGGAGCTCTGCAGAGGCGCTGTTTCAAGAAGCAGCTTTCAGTCTTTCCACCCATTTGGATAAAAATCCAAATACATTGCTTCAAAAAAAGCTTTTTACACAAAAGTGAAGGAGCTTGGCCGTGAGAAATCTTTCTGCAATCAAAGGAGTTGCTCAGACCAATGACAGACTTCGCCTTAAAAATAGACAATGAAAAACCTGGCTGAAATGCAGGCCATTGTTCCAGCACTGCTGTTGGTGAGTGCCTGTATGGAGGCTTTTCTGTTTGTTTTGATATATTGGCATAATGAAATGGAAACAACCCCCTGCTTGGAAAGTCATTGGGCAAGTAAAAGGAACAAGAGCCAATTCTTCCAGGAGAAAGCCGAGTTATGCTGGGAGAAGCAAGGAACCTCAGCAAGAGTGAAGAAGGGGGGAAGGACACCCCCATTTTGAAGGTGCCTGCTTTGACCAACATTTCCTGTTTTGCAAGAAAGACAAACTCCTGCACTCTGCATCCACCTTTTGTGAACAAAACCTGAACTCAAATTAGGCAGCTGAGTGGTTGCCTTTAAAATATAGATCTGTCTGTCTGTCTGTCTGTCGTCTTCATCTTGGGTTAAGTAACCCTGATTGGGACACCATATGGGGTCCATGTCACACTTGGCAGCCTGGATGGGCAAGAAAGCAAGAACGATGCTTAGTAACTTTGTCATGGCAATGGCAAGCTGTCGGGAAATTAAGAAAGGGGGGAGTAGAGCAGCCCACTGGATTTATTTTAATGCACCTAACTCAGACCTCAAGGAGTCACACACTGTCTGGCAGTGTGACCAAGGGTCCTCTTCACAGAGGGTATCCTCTGTTTTTGGAGGGGGGCATCTTCTATTTGATGGACCATCCAGTACAAGTCTGGTATGAAGATAAAGATGGGAAGAGCTGCCACTTGGGTAGCAAACTGACATGGCCCATCTGATTGTGTTCATCCACACTGTAGTGACAGCTACTGTATTTGTATTTAAATTATGACTATTATTTCCAAATGAGTATATTCAAATTTTATGCAAATTGGGGCCTTCTTTTGTCCTCTTCTGGGAATATGCCTCTTCTTTGCTAATTCAGCCCTATGAATTGGTGCAGCTATATAATTTTGCATCCTTGACTTAATGGTTTCACATCAAGATCCCTGCAAAATGTTTGCATACGGTTTTACATCAAGACAGCTTACTTCAGTTGTGAGGCACACGATTAAAGTTTCTCTACTCCCCCAACCCAACTCCATGCCTGAGAATGGCTTCTCCATGCCTGATTAATAAGGATCTGCAAATCAACAGAATTCAAGCTTGCTGAAAATCTCTGAAATCTCTCTGAAATCTCATTCCAGCTCTCACATTTGCTTATTGGATTGTGAGCTTTCTCTTTGCGTGAAAATCCATGTGTAATTTTTTCATATTTTCCCAAATGTGCATGCATCAGTTGCATGCACCTTTGAAATATGTGTTTTCTCCTCTTATTGAGCAAGGCAGAATGCCTGCATCTTTCAGAAGTACAGCTTCTTTCCATGCTCCGATTTCAAATGGGCGCATGCTATCGAATGGACTTTTGGAGGTTTGCAAATCGCACGGCCACTTTGCAGATTGTGCCCAAGGCTGTCTCCGGTACAGAAGGAGTCACCTGTGGATCATTCCTGACCACAAACAAATGGAGACAGATTTCACATACCTCCCTTGCCACATGTAAAGACAAAAGAAAGGTGTGGCGATCCTGATCAAAAAAATGTTTGGCGCACACAAAACAGAAATGCATAGAAGAAGAGCACCGTTGCTCGTCTGCTGGCACTGGCCCCATCCCCTGTTGCTCTCTTGGTTTGGTCTCTGCCGAGCCCTGCATCTTTGCCCCGATCTCCATCCTAAACTTTGCTGCTGGCCACACGCCCAGTGACGTCGGATACGGACAATGCCACGCAGCTGCAAAGCAGGTTAGGGATGGTTTGAAGGAGTGGCAGGCGTGAAGGGAGCCGGATCCTTCCCACTTTGGCTGCTTTGCAGTGGCCTCCCTCCCCTTCGCCTTCCTCCCAGATACGAGCCCAGCTGGTAGAAACCCTCTGACTTTGGTGGGTAAAGATTCCGCGCCCATGTGCATGTTTGGAGAAGGCATGTGCAAAAATGTTTCTATTACTGCAAAGAGCATGCATGTTGTTATTTTGTGCACCAAATTGCATATGGTTGATGAAAATAATTATTGTACAAAAGTCATTTTCATGCTGACTTTAAAAAAACGCAAACTCGTGTGGAAATGGGGTGAACTGAACTGAAGGCTGGAAAAATGAGAAGCAGAAGAAAAAATACAGTTCACTAATTTACTAGTTTGCCGAAAGGCAGGACTCTCTCTGGCCGTCATATCCCCTGCTCGAAGGAGGCGGAGCCTTTGAGTTCGTAGCGCCACCCCGTACCCAGATAATCATTCGCTCAAGGCCTTTTGTTTCGTGGTATTTTTAGGATGTATGTTGGCATTATGAAATTCCCATTGTTTGAACTTCTGCTTGCACATGGTGATTCACAGCTGTTGTTTCCCATTGGACAGAGTTTCCTTCTTGGTGCCTTTCCCCCACCCCAACCCACTCCTTCCCCAAAGCAAACTTCTGCTTGTAAAAGCTTTGGGCTCTTAAAGGAAACTGGGTGCTCCAAAAGTTGGCTGAAGACTCCTCTGCAGCAGCTCCCCCCCCCCCCATTCCTCGACATTCTGCACATCAGAATGAGGTTAGTTTTGATTATGGATCTCAATCAAAAGCTGGGAAGAGAGACTGAGAAGAGCGGATTGGGAGGAGTTTGTGGACAGGGGGAGACTAGGATACGGAGAACGGCCTGGCTTGTGTCTTGCCTGCAGTTGTACACAGCGGTGGAGATTCAGGGGCAGAGCACCTGTCCTGCTTGCGGAAGGTCCTGGGTTCAAAGCCCAGCATCTCCAGGTAGGGCTCAAAGGGCATCCCACCTGAAAATCCCGGAGAGCTCTTGCTAGTCAGTGCCAATGAGATGGACCACTGGTTGCGAGGGAACTAGGCTATCACTCTTGGCTGGAATCCCAGGGTCATTATAGCTTGGATTCTGGAGACAAAGCCCCGGAGATGGGAGTCTTGGAGACTCAGAGAGAGGGGAGGCCTTTGAAGCACCCCACCCCCAGGTTCCCAGGCTGGCTGGGAGTGCTGAGATGCTTTGGAAGGGTTGAAGAAGGGGAGGAGGGAGAGGAGTGGAATTACCCGGGTCCTGATCCCATGATGAGGCATCAGGAGAGACAAACTGCCCAGTGGTACGGCTTGTGTATATCCCACGGGTTGACTGTTCACCCACAGGAGCCACCCTGAGGGTGGCGCCCACAGAGTGACGGAAAGGGAAGGGAGAGAAGTCCCCAGTTTGGTTGAACACTCTTGACATGAGCAGAGGCTTATTGTCCAGCTTGCTGGAGCGTTTTTCGAGTAACTGCGTCTTGTAGCTGCGAAGTGCCAACAAGGATCTGCATTACAAAGAGATTGTTTGGTGTTTTGGAATCAAAGCGCCTTCCCCCCTATACACCCTCCTGCCCCTTGAGATCTGAGGTGGAGGTCCTACTTCGGGAGCCCTCCTTGAAAGAGATTAGGAGAGTGGCTACCCAGAGGAGGATCTTCTCTGTGGTGGCACCCCAGCTCTGGAATACACTCCCCAGAGAGGTTGCCTGGTGCAAATGCTTATTTCTTTTCTGTGCCAGGTGAAAACCTTTTTATTTTCCCGTTATTTTAGTGTTCATTGGTTTTAATTGTACTTTTAATATTGAATCACTGGATGCTGTGCCATTTGCATTTTATTTGTGCCTGTTGTAAATCGTCCCAAAGATGCCAGTAAAGGGACGGTTTATAAAAGCTTCAAATAAATAAATAAAAATAAATAAAATAAATAAATGATAACAGGCAAGAAGAGGAGGGCTGAGCACGCGACACCGGTGTCCTGAGTCTTAGGGAACGGCGTCTTGTGAATGCACGCACACACAGCTGCACATGGCACAGTGCCAGGACTGGTGCAGAGACGGCCTGGCAGACACCTCGCTTCTGGAGAGGTTCTCAGGCTCTGTGCACTGCACACTGCTTGCCAAAGCGGTTCCTTGCGCATGCGAACACGGAGCACCTATGAAAACTTAGTGGAGATTCGTTCTGTCTCCAGCGTGGTCCCAATGTGCACCAGTGTTCCCACAGACATGTCTCTTGCTGCCTACCAGGTTCCTTAACCTCCTGCTTTGTATTGTATTTTTAATGACTTCTATTTTGGTCTGCTTGTTTTTACGAGAGTTTGCTTTGCTGCAAAGTGAAAGGCCGCCTTCCAGCACCATTTCTATTTCTGATCAAAAGAGTGGCTTTGTGTTTTGGAGCCCAGATCCTATGCGTAGATTCTTGGGCATGTCCCATCTCTTTTAACCCACTTGCCTGCTGGGAAAAAGAGTTTCTGACTGCCCATTTTGAGACGGGTCGAGCCATTTTGTGATGTCCTTCCCCACCCCATCTCAGAATCCCAGCTCTGTATTTAGATCCAGGGGGTGGGGGGAGATCTGTCGGATCAGCCTCTCCCCAAACTGAGTGCTTGTGTGAGGGTCCTCCCAGACCAAAGCAGATCAGTTTTGCTCTTGCCTTGCTTGGTGATCTCTTAAGGACCCCAGCTTGTGGAGTGGCCAGCTGTTGTTCAGTTCCCTGCCAATTCGTGTGCTGTTGTGTTTTCCCCTTCCTCCAGTCTCCAGGAAGTGGACTGGAAGTCACCGAAATTGCCAGCAGGCACGGAGAATGACCGAGTCTTCAGTGATCTGTGGGAAAAGACAGACATCCCGGCTGCCAACAGCAACACCACTTCGGAGAAGGTAGATGCTCAAAAGAGGTGGGGGTGAGAGGGGGGGTGAGGGACGCTCTTCTCAGACAATGCGTTGCTGATTTGCTGGTGAAACAACCCCCTAAGATTTCAGCCAACTACCTGTTCTCCCTTTTTATCAAAATCGTTTTATTGCACTCCTCATCCCAAAAGTCTTTACATGCAACCACTAAAGCAAGACAATCTTTGCACAGAGACACGGCACACCAAGGAGAAGGGAAGAAGGAGGGAAGGGGGGAAATGAAATGGTCTGTTAGCTAGGCTTGTGGAATTTCCCTGCTTTCCTTTTGGTATAGATTTCCTTCCCAGGAGCAAACATTTCTTCCCCCAAGAAGCGCTCCTAGAAGGATGTGAGCACTGACAGAAGGTGTGAGCAAAAGAAAGATTTGTGTCTGGCATGAAAAGTTAGCACTCCATCTCTGAAGCATTTACAAATGTGTGCAGTTCAACCAATGCAGTGTTCTCTGTTTCCCATACCCCCATTTTACCCCCTTTCTTTATTTCTTTATTTAGTTCTGCAACCCATTTTCCCCCCAAGTTCACATCTCGCTCTTGTCTGTGGAACTTGAAGGATGATGTTGTTATTAGAATGTGGGATTCTTAGCATGCATAAAGAATTCAAAGTGTTTCCTTTGCATCGCCTTGCAATCTGTACAGTGACGCTGCAAGGTAGGCCAGTAGCATCATCCCCATACTCCAGGTGTGAAACTGAGCTCCAGAGAAAGGAGTGAGGCAAGAATCAGAGCGGAGGTTTTGCTAACCCAAAGTACAACCGCACCAGCTGCAGCGGCCAGTCTGGCAAGTGCCTTTTTCAGCTTTGTATCCTTGGAAAGGGGCGAGCAAGGAGGGACACCAGAGCAGTGTACCAAAGAAAGCACTGTGGGAAAAGTGGAGACAGATCTTTGCTCCCTCTTCCATAATACTGGAACCCAGTGAGGTCATCCCATTAAGCTGAATGCGGCATAGTGGGAAGAGAGCTCCACTGACAGATAGAGGGAAGTACATCTGTGGAACTCTCTGCCACAAGATGCAGAGACGACTGCCAGTTTGGAGGGTCTTAAAGGGGACTGGACAAATTCATGGAGGAGAAGTCTATCCAAAGTTGCTAGTCCTGATGGCTTTATGCTACCTCCAGTAACAAGGATTGGGCTAGGGTGCAGGTTTCTTGTAGGTATGTGGTTAGCCGCCCTGTGAACAAAACGCTGGATTTGATATCCTTGACGTGATCCAGCAAGGCTCTTCTCGCATTGATTTTCCACTTCAAATGCTCAGCTAGCTGGCATGACCCCCCCCACCACCACCACCTACGTGCTGTGCAAACGGCATGGAACAGATTACCCGGGAAAAGTCCTGTGCATTTCTGTTTCTCCCACTCTGCCCTGGTTTCTGTTTGCTGGGTGCTCCTGAGGCCTTCCCACAGAAGGTGTATTGTATACACAATTGTGATGGATTAGTTCCTTCTGCGTGTCTCATAGCCACACGGCACAAAATGCAGCAGCACCCCTGTGGTCAGAGCTGGAACAACAGCTCAGCAGCATCTGGGGATTCATGTCAGCATCGGAGTTAGACGTCTTCACACTGGCACCAGCAAGAGCTTCCCCACAAGGGCAAATAATAGGATTTGTTTCTTCTAGGCTTGTAGTGGGCCCGAGGTTACACTCTCTCCATAGATATACCGCCACTGTGATCCTATTTGTTCCTACACAGCCATTTATCAGATCCCATGGCTATTTGAAGGATTAGCTGCACATGGTGCTCCTGCTCCATGTGATCTGAGCTTCTGGGAAGCAATGGCGCATTTACAACAGAGGTACAGAGCGTCAAGCCTGAGGGCCGCCTCTGGCCTCCCAAGGGGACCCCAGATGTCCACATCCCTTTCCTCCAGCCCAGCCCCACGCCTTTCCCTGTCACCAGACATTCGTGTTTTCCCAGCTGTTGTGCTATTTCCCCCCAATTCTAAAAAGTTGAAATGTCTCTCCAAAGGTTTAGGGCATTGAGGCACTTAGCTAAATTATGATATTTAGAGATTTTTGGCTTTTCATCTTTGGCCATCCACCAATAGAATGTTGTCTCCCAAGAGCAGCTCTTAACCTGGAATTTGGCCTTTGTCCTGGAAGCAGTTCAGATTTACAGGCAGAGCCAGATGGGATTCCACCAAAAGTCTCATTCACTCCATAACCTGCTTGCACAGTGGCAACAGGAAGCCCACAAGAAGCCTACAAGTAGCACGAGAGTGCGGTGCCTACACAACTTGCAGTAGAAGTGAGTCCGTCACGATCCCCCATGAGAGTGTGGTGGCTACACAACTTGCAGTAGGAGTGAGTCCATCACGATCCCCCATGAGAGTGTGGTGGCTACACAACTTGCAGTAGAAGTGAGTCCATCACAATCACACATGAGAGTGTGGTGCCTACACAACATGCAGTAGAAGTGAGCCCTTCACAATCACACGCCATAAGGTAGGACCATTCGTACTTTGGGTGGGAACGTTCAAAAGCAGTCAAGAAAGGAACACGGTCAAATTGGGAAGTGGGGAAGCAGAGTTCCAGGAAATCCATTTGTAGAACCTCACGCTTGACTCAGGGACTGGCATTAACTGGCATAATGCCTCTGATGCCGGAGGGAGCAGAAACTTCTCCTGACTAGTAGCTCCATGAAGCTGTTCTTCTGCTGATCTGCCCTAAGTCTCCCACCTCAACCGCCCTTGGATGCGCCCCGGATGTGTTACCACGGCATGGTGCATTTGGATCCCAGTTCCAAACCTGAGCAAAGGCCATCCTCCCAGGTGAAGTCCCTTCCTCTTGCGGAGGGCCAATCCTGGACCCCATTCGAAGTCTGTAGAGTCCCAAGATGCTCTCGGCTGTTCCTGTTTGGCTGCAGATTTCCTCCTCTAGAACACCCCTTAAACATAGCAATTCCCTCGCTCGACTTCCTCTCACTTCTTTCGTCATCTCTTAAATTCCTCCTTTCGTGCGAGGCCAATCTAGGGATGGAGCGGCTTTCCTCGTCAACCCACCTGCCAGCAGCACAAATGCAAGCATGTTATGCCTTTCGTTTCTGCACCCAGCTGTGCTAAATAAAGATGAGAAAGCCCATGAAGAAGTGGAAACAATGCAGTGGGGGGGAAGCCAAGGGGGACTATTTTCTCCGCTCCCCAGAGGAAAAGTCACGCAGGGAGCATCAGCTTGCTCATTGAAGCTCTTTGTCTGTTGGAACAACAGAGCCGTGAGTTCGATCACAGCTGAGCTGGGAACTGCTAAGGAGAGGGCAAAGACCTGTGCAGCTCGTGTTTCACTGAGACCTCATACACGTCACACTTTCCTAATCAATATATCAACTGAACTGCCATCATCCTTCAGTATTCGCACTTGTGAAATTGACGTGCTGCAAGTTTCCAAACACAAAGGGGAAGTTCATACCAAAAGGTGTGAAAAATGCGCCAAATGGTCTATGGAGGCCACTGGCTTAGAAAAGCACAAATATTTGGCAAGGCTGCCTGCAAAAATGAGTCTATCATGTGCACGTGTACAAATATGCTTGTCTTTGGAATGTACACCAAAATGCATGTGGATTTTGTTTTTCTGGTTGTTTTGTTAAAGGGTTGCAGAACTTAGATGGAAAGAACTCAAGGTGGGGAAATGAGAAACGGAGAGAAGCCAACACAAAATCCCACCCGTCCCCCGGGGAAGGTTTTGCCCATCTCACCCGTGGGCAGTCTGAATGGATTCCTGGGCAGCCCACAAAGCAGACAAAGGGCACCTCTGCCTGGAACACCGTGTCCAGAGAAAGCCCTGCACAGCTCCCTGCAGAGCTTGTGCACAGGGTGGGAGGGAGAATTCTGTCTGTTTATCTACTGATCCACCTAGCATCTTCTTATCTATCTCCAAAGCAGAGTGTTCTCATGCAAAACCCTAGTGGTCTATTTATAAATGACCCCCTTTCTTTCTTTCTTTCTTTCTTTCTTTCTTTCTTTCTTTCTTTCTTCATATCTCGCATTTCTATCACAATACTCCAAAAGTGACTTGCAAAATCATTCAGTTAGAAAGACACAATAAAACTATGAAAGAAGTGCAAAGCAAGATGATAAAATCAGAGCAGGAAGGTCTGGTTTGAGGAAAGTCTCTCCTCCTGTGTTGCAGGCCTTGTGGGTAATCAAAATGACAGGGCCAGCAGAGCCAGCCCCCTGCCTGTGGGACATAGTGCTGGCATCTGCCAGGGATTGCCAGATATTGGCATGATAGCTAAAGAGCTGCCAGATTACCTGGGAAGCCAAAACACGGCAGATGATTCAACATTAAAAGCTTGTCAGTGCTTTGGTTCTGTTCCGCTTTTCTTTAAACCCTCTGTGCATGTGTGGAAGTGAATGCCAGTGGATTTCTACAAGGAGGGCATTCCAGTGGTTTGGAATTACCACCTCTAAGAACCTGTCCGTTCTACACATCGGCCTAGTCTCACAGGATGATGGGAGAAAGAACAGGTCCTCTGATAGCTTCTGCTCCATCACCTCCCCTGCATGGGGTTCTAAAGGAAAGACAGAAGAAAGGGTCTCTCTGTTTTCCTAATCTTGCAGAATAACAACCGGATGTCTTGGCCCTGCATGATTTTCTCAAGAGGACACCAGGGCTGAGCAGGACTTGATCTGAAAAAACAACTTTCTGAATAATGAGAGAAAGAGTTGCAAGGGAGGCCTTCCAGATGTGCCGGACCACCCCGTCATCTCCAGCACGGGATGCTGTCCCACACACCTGGAGGGCTGTACATCCCCCAGCCTTGCTGCAGGCCTTGAGATTCAACCATCTTGCACCCAGGTACCAGAATCCATCATCTGGAAATCCGGATCTCAAAGGCACTCGGGAAGATGCCTTTGTGTGTCCTGCTCCAACGCTGCACGTTGGAGCAGGACGGGAAGATGCCTTTGTGTGTCCTGCTCCAACGCTCCAACGCTGCACGCTCCAACGCTGCATGCTTCCTCCTACCCAGCATGCTGGGGGTGTGATCCAGTGCTGCTCTTCTCGTGTCCTCCCGTACCCAAGACGGAGACGTTCAGAATAGACCAGTGTGTGTGCCAACCAGGCCGGATCGCCTCTGCCCCTGAGTCCTGGTCCTCCTCCTCCTCTGGGTCTTTCAGGAGCCCCTTCGCATCCCTGTCTCAGCAGCCTTGGGGAACAGGCTGATATGCGCAGAACACCAACCCTCTGGTGCCTGCTTCAGGATCTGGGTGGGGCTGTCAGTGCGGGATCTGCGGGAGAGACCCTTCTCCGGGAACCCTCCGTGAAAGAAATTAGGAGGGTAGGTACTCGGAGGAGGGCTTTCTCTGCGGTGGCGCCCAATCTATGGAATGCGCTCCTCAGAGAGGTCCGCCTGGCGCCGTCGTTATTTGTTTTTCAGTGCCGGGCGAAGACCTTTTTATTTAAGCGTCATTTTAATTGTTAATATTATTTGCTTATTTTATCTGGCCAGGGCGACTTATTTTATATTGTTAATTTGTTTTATGTATTATATTTTATGTTGTGAGCCGCCCCGAGACTTCGGCGAATGGGGCGGCATAGAAATGTTTTAATAAAATAAAATAAATAAACACTTTCTGACTTATGGGCTCATGGCTGGCTAATACTGCTTCCCTGTTCCCCCCACCCGCTTAGCTGCCGCCCTCAGACCGGCCATCGCCGACCAAGAATCTGGTGAACGGGAGCCCTTCCAAGTGCCCACGCTTTGCCAAAGTGAAGAACTGGGAGACCGGCTGTGTGCTGAGCGACACGTTGCATCTGAAGAGCACCATGGTGAGTGGAGCGGCGCGGCCAGCCCTGTGTCTGCCAGAGACGCTGTCCACATCCAGTGGCTCCTGCAGCCACTGGCCTGAGATGTGATGGAAGGGCAGGAAAGGATCACTGATTTAATTTATTTTTCTTTGCCATGGAACCCTCAAGGAGGGTGTTGAGGCCTGCGTAGTGCCTGATGGAGACAGTGCTCTTTAAAGAGCTAAATATTTAAAGCCATGAAAGGTTTGTTTAATGGCTTGATAGGGGCACCCGTGCTTGGTGTTCTTAACAAGTCCGTGCAGCCTGTGGCTAAATCATTTTAAAATTTTGAAACTGCTTTTAAATGGTCAGATGTGAAAATGTTTGGGGTTGTTTTTATTCTGTTCTGTCTTGCTTTTAGGAACTGCTGTAAGCTGTCCAGAGAGCTCTGGCTACTGGGCAGTATAGATATGGAATGAATAAATAAATAAATGGTGCTTGTAGGCCAGCCCTGGTCTAACCACCCTCTAGATTTCCCACAATTCCCCAGGGTGCTACTGGCTCCAGGAGGATTGTGGGAAATTTAACGCATGACTAGATTCACCCTCCCGACACTGCATGAAGTCTGGCTTTTGTTCCAGTCCAGAAAGTAGAGGCAAATGGCTTTCTTCCCTGCCTTTATTTTTCCGTGAGCTTGTGCTGCCTTCTCCCCCTCTTGACATCTGGTTTAACCAGCCGAATTTCTAAAACATAATTGTGGCATTGGAGCCACTATAATTTGCAGGAGTAGTGAGTTCTCGCTTGTTTTCATCGCACAGGCACACACATTCCTCGCATTACTGATGTTTGCGCGGGCTTTGATAAACCCCTGCAAAAGAGTCATTTCAATAGAAACGCCTGTATGCTTTGCATCAAAGTCCTCTTTATCCTGCATTTTGCTGATGCCGTCGATGTGTCTGCAAAAGCATTTCGCGCACAAAGAACCTTGTCACCGCCATATGCGCCACCTTTATCGGGAAAGCTCTTTGGCAGTTGAATCAATGCGCGCGAGTTGCACGTGTGCCATTGATTGGCAAAACATCACTAAGGATGGGGGAACGCATGAATAAACTGAGGTGCACAGGACCAAGCGAAACATGAAGTTAAAGCTGCCTTCTTTATTTGACGTGTAGGTTTTCACAAATGCAGAGTGGGGTCATGGCAAATAGTTCAATGAACATGTGCGCCCTGCCTGCAAACAGCTGCGAGGGAGGCAAGTTCTGTGCTAGGGAATGTTAAGAAAGGGGCGGAAAACAAAACCGCCAATATCATAATATCTTTACACAGTCTGTGCTACGAGCATCTATGGGGGATATGCACAATTCTAGTTCCGCATTTTAAAAAGGGATATTGAACAGCTGCTGGGGAGAAGGTACATGTGGCAATCAATATCAGACCAACTCTTCTTTGAGCAAAAGTTGCATGGCTTGGGGTTTTATTTCATGGGGTGGGGGGGCAAGTAAAGAGGGACATGACAAAGGTTCTGGGATTATCTCATTATCCCAGGGCCATCTCGGGGATGTCAGTGCTGGGTAACTCAGGATGGATAAGAGTGGGAGCTTCTTCACAGCATCCCATGTACCTCGGCTGGGTTCATGTGGCTTCCCAGTGTCATGGCAAAGAGGGGTTCTGTGGCCTGCAATACAAGCTGTGCAATCTTGCGCAGCTTATTGTAGAATCAGAGCTAGTAGAGTTGGAAGGGGCCGAGAAGGCCATTGAGTCCAGCCCCCTGCTGTTGCAGGACACGACCTTACACCACCCCACTCAGATGGCTGTCCAGTTTCACCTTGAATGTCTCCAGGGTGGGAGAGCCCACCACCCCTCCAGGCAGCTGGTCTCACTGTCGTATTGCTCTGACAGTGAGGAAGCTTTTCCTGACATCCAGCCTGAATCTGGGTTGTCACAACTTGATTATTCCATGTCCTGCACTCTGGGATCAGCAAGAAGAGACCTTGACCTTCCTCTTTGTGACAGCCTTTGAGGGACTTCTAGGAGGATCTCATGTCCCCCCTCAGTCTTCTCTTCTCGAGGCTGAACAAGCCCAGTTCTCTCAGTCTCTCCTCACAGGGCCGTGTTTCCAAACTCTGGATCATTTTTGTTGCCCTCTGCTGAACCCTTTCTAATTTACCTGCATCTGTTATGAACCAAAGCTTAGGAGACAGGGCCTGGCACAAGGCATCCCTTCCGATTTGCAGCCATTCTCTGCAGATCAGCTGCATTTCTACCAACCCTTTGGCAGGTAACTGGGATATGTCTCAGGTGACCTCTGGATCTGTGCTTTCAGGTGACCCCCTGCAGTGAGCAAGTCTGCATGGGCTCCATTATGATACCTTCCCAGCATGTTCGGAGGCCAGAAGAAGTCCGGACGAAGGAGCAGCTGCTCCCGCTGGCAAAAGAATTCATCGATCAGTACTACTCGTCTATCAAGAGGCAAGTCTTGTGCACGAAGAGCCTGGCTCGCTGTGTCTAGCAGGGCAGCTAGCATTCTGCTTCAGGTGGCATTCAGATCCCTGCCAGCTGAAGGGGCTTCCTATTTTGAGAGCAGAGGTTCTCGGCCTCTCTCAGCATGAGGGCTGAATTCCATTTCAGAGAAGCTTTTGGTGGTGGGTGGAGCTGAGGACAATGGGATGGAGCCAAAGGAGCAAGATGCCAATGCATTTCATCTTAAAGTTCTTACTGTCACTTCCTAAGCCTTTCGGCCTTTTATAATCATGTTCAAAGGCAGGGAAATGGTGCAAAGTGGGACAGGTGTGCCTCCTTCTGTGGGCCACCAAAGGCCCAGGTGGGGAGGTCTGCACTTGAACTTCTGCCATGCTTCTACTGGAGCATGGAATTTGAGTGTCCAATTGTCCGGATTCCAGTGCCCTGTCTCCCTTCGCAGCCGCAGGGCCTTATAGTTTATCCATGCCCACATCAGAAGCATTGCCGTTTCCTGCATGTCTCCTGACACACGTCTCTCGGCACGAAGCTGACAGCTGCTTGCTCCTTTCTGCACTCCTGCAGGTTTGGCTCCAAGGCCCACATGGAGCGGCTGGAAGAGGTAACCAAAGAGATCGAAGCGACTGACACCTACCAGCTGCGAGATACGGAGCTGATCTATGGGGCCAAGCATGCCTGGCGTAACGCTGCCCGCTGTGTGGGCAGGATCCAGTGGTCCAAGCTGCAGGTGAGGAGGCAGCTGCTCTGGGCATGCAGCCTGTAGGAGAAGGACCCCTGGGAAAGATTGTGCACGGTGGCTGATTGACTCAACCATGGGGCCTTCCCCAGCCTGCTGGTCCCAATGGAAGCATGCGCTCCAGGGGGATTTGAGAAAGCTGGATTAAACCAGGAGGGTTTCAGAAGTTCAGGATTTTGCAAGGAACATGTCCTATAAGTTTCTTTTCATTAAACAGGGGTGGAGGGGGGTAGGCTTGGAAATGTGTTCTCTGTACAAATGTTAATCTTTAGTTAAATACTTGCAGAGATTTTGCATACAAAGCAATAATCACTCGCTCTTAACTCTCATTGTTAGGCCCCTCAAGGGCTACTTTGAAGGGCCCACTGTGGTTGTTGTGGGGTGGGGGGCAACAGTGTGCCTTCTATCGGCATCCCCTCACTGACAATGGCCCCCACCCCCATGTGCTTACGGATGGCAGAGGGAGGCAGCTGTAATGGGCTGCTGGAAACTGCCTACCATGGTAATTACCTACTTAGGGATGTACAAGAATTCAGTTTGCATTTGCAAATCATGCAGACATGTCCTTTTCACAGTGCCGCATGCAAACACGAACAGGAGTTCCTTTCTTTGCCGTTCCTTTTCCTTTGGGAAATACTTTCATCTTTCTGAATCTGCAGTGGTGTTTGAAAAATGTGCATGTGTTTAAATGGACATTGTCCTGCACCTCCCTGCTCCACAAGCAAGCATCTTCATGCATTAGTCCATGGGAGGAAAGTGCATGCTTTGGGAAACTATACACAGAAAGGCCTGCTTTTGCCATTTGAAACAGTTCTCCACTTGAAATATGCATGTTCTTGCTAACAAACCCAAAAAGATCAAAAATAGGACAAGCGGAAACAAGCTGCAGGGTGATTTTTGGCAAATTTAAGCCAGTGGTAATTTCACTGGCCTCCCAGGGAGCCCTCTGGGCTACTAGGGTGGTATATAAATGCAAATGATAGATAGATAGATAGATAGATAGATAGATAGATAGATAGATAGATCTGCCCTGCCAGGGGTTCTAATGCAAGTGGAGGCTCCAGTCTGAATTTCAATGATCTAAGCAAGGAGCTGCCCAGTCCTCTTAATAAGTTCAGCACCATGGACAGCTCCTTTAAAGCTCCGCCTGCCGTGGACACAAACACACACCCCGCTCTGTGCCACCCATAAAGGTAACTTTGCTCTAGTGGGATGTGGCCTTTTGGCTTTGCCAGCCATTTATTCCAGTCCCTTGCAGGAAATAAGCAAAAACATGACCATCCAGGCTCCATCAGAAGACCCGATGAGAAAAATTCCCTCACTTCCGGTTAATTGTTCCTATTTCTCTGAATGTTGAACTGAAACCTATCTTCCTGGCACTTGAGATCATCTCCCCTCGTCCAAGCTTCTGAAAGAGCAGTGAATCTGTGGCAGCCCTTCAAGCTCCTGAAGAACACTCTCCTGCCCCTCTTTCTTCTCCCAGTGAAACTTACCCAGTTCTTCCACCCTTCCACCATCCCACCTGTTCTCCATACCCCTGACCATCCCTGTTGCCCCCTCCTCCTGACACCACTCACTTCCAATTCTTTCAGGTGTTTGATGCCCGGGACTGCACCACGGCCCATGGGATGTTCAACTACATTTGCAACCACATAAAATACGCTACGAACAAAGGGAACCTCAGGTATACAGTATAAATAAGGCTGTCTCTTTGTTCATTTTAGCCCAGCCATTGGCATTGGCACTCATGCAAATGATCCTGGCACTCAACAGCTCCTTGCCAACTGGGGCTGGTGTGTGTGTGTGGTTTGTGTAGATAGTGTCTCTATATGTGTATGAGTGTGTATATCTAAAGCCAAAGGAGTCTAGAGTATTTCACAGTAATTGGAAAAGGCTGAAATTGCACTCTGGTACTTCTAATCCAAAAGAGATCTACTTTGCCACTCAAATTGCCATGAGATAGATTCAGGAGGTTCGGTAGTGATAAGCCAGGGGTGCTCTGTGTCTACAGAGAACCGTGGCTGATAGCAGTCTGTGATATTTTTGCTAGAAGTCTGAATCTATTTCCCAGAACCATGGAGTACAAAGTCCATGAGTGTCTGATGGTGCAGATAGAAGGGGATTTCTTTTTGTTCTGTTTTTTGCTTAGAATATTGTGTGCAGGGGGCTCTTCCTGAAGGGGAATTGCAGCTGAGGAGAGAAGGGTTAACTCCTTCTTCCCAGCATGCTTCAGCCCACACACTGTATGATGATTAAGCTTAGCAAAAGGAATACTTTGAGTCCTTTAAAACAGAAAAAAAAGTGGGATATAAATCTAATAAATAAATAAATCAAAACTTCCAGTGGTTTGGGATGCTCAAGGCTGGGTCTAAGCTAAGTGAAGAATATTTGATTCAAGACTATTGGGGTGAAAAATCCCTTAGTTCTTGTAACATTTGAACAGATCTTGTGAAAAACACCAAAAGAGTCTATCTAGTTCAACTTTCTGTTGACACAGTGGCTAGTGGAAGAACACAGAGAGGCCTCGGGATGTGGCTGAGATTCCAGGTGCTGAGCTGAGAGGAGCGGATGCCCTTGCCTCAAGACCACTGCCCGGTTGTAGAGGCAGTCTCAAAGAATAACCAAGATGCACACTTATCAGAACAGGGGAGTTTCTCAGACACAGACAAGGCGGGTACAGCTCTCAAGCCCATGACGCCGTATTGGCAGGGGGCAGCAGCCCAATGAGAAGATCAGCATGTGGAGGGGAGGCATGCTTGTTTCCAGGAGTCCTTCTCAAAAGGATGGGTTCCAAACATAATCAAAAGGAAAGTTCCTAGAAGTAAGAACTAGACTGGGTTCAGTGAAGAACTCTGTGCCTGCTCAGAGATTTCTTCTGAGTGATGTGCTTCTGGAACTTTTTGCAAAGAAAGGCCCATGGCTTGGAATCTGTGAAGGGAGGAAACCCAGCTCATGAGAGGAAGTAACACAGAGCCATCAGACTTGTAGCCACGAATAGCCTTCTCCATTAATATCCTTTGCTCAGTCTCCTTTTGGGATGACATAAATAGGTGGACAAGGCTACATCTTGTGGAAGGGAGCCCTGTAGCTTCACTGTGCCCTGTGTGAGCACGTCCGGCCTTTGCCTGGTCCTGAAGCTCCCCGCAATCTGCATGGGATGGCCCCAGGTTCTCGTAATAAGAAAAAAAGCTTTTCCTATCCATTTTCACCACACCTTGCTTTATTGTATACACATCTGTTCTAATTATAAACAATTCCAGTCGTTTTAACCTTTCCTCATGGGGAAATTGGTCCAGCCGTTTTACTTGCTCTTTTCTACACTTTTTCCATCTGTTAAGTGTTCTTTGTTTAGGGACGGTGGCCAGAACTGTGCATGATATTCTAATATCATAATGCTCAAGTTCTCTCACAGACATTGGTTGGGTACTACACAAAATGGGGCTGTGGAAATCGGGAGAGAAGGTAGTCCGCATTTCAGAACAGATGGCTTTGTGCAGAATTGTGCCAAGTGTGGCCTTTTACCTCTCCTCACTTGACTCTGCAAATTGCTGACGCTGTTTCTCCTTTTCTAGGTCTGCCATCACCATATTTCCCCAGAGGACGGATGGCAAACATGATTTCCGGGTCTGGAACTCTCAGCTCATCCGCTACGCCGGCTACAAACAACCAGATGGCACGATCCTTGGAGATCCAGCCAACGTGGAGCTGACCGAAGTCAGTGCATGAGACCTCCATTTTTTAAAACATGGCCAACAGGCACCTTATTAGATGACCGCCCCTTACCAACAAAACTGTCTAACTAAAGTATAACGATTTTAATGACATTTTGAGGGCAAGCTGGCATCATTCTAAAACTTGTATTTGAAAGAATACAAAATGGCAGCCAGTGGGGGCAACAGTTCAGAATCTGTTGAACAGTTCAAGGATTTGAAGCAGACACCTTGATGCTGAGAGAATGGAAATGTGAAAATGCTAAGCGATTGCAAAATTGGACATTAGTGTAAAAGAGCTGTTTGCAAATTCGGTGTTTGTTTCTACTTTTCATATTCCTTTTGATATCAATATGTTGGATCTTTCAGCTGAAGAGGTAACAGAAAAATTTATTTTGATTACCATTTGACAAAAGTAACAATACAGATGGATGAAAAATGGGAATATGTGATTGGGATGCAAAAGAAAAGATGTAAGCAAATGAAACCTATATTTCTGGAAAAGAATATTTATCTAATCTGGACAAAGTTGTTTATCTAAACTTGATAGTATTTATAGTGCAAACCTGTGACTTGCACTCCCAATAAATGGAGGGTTCTGGGTTTGGAAGGTGGTCGCTTTCTGGCGTTTCGCTACAACCAGCTATTCAGACAACCTGCCTGACTATTGCCTTTGACCAATTGATTGATTCTGATTGGATGAAATCCCCCAGGTTGTAGGGAGGTATGTAAATGCAACAAAAAATAAAATAAATATCCTGCCTTTCTTACAAAAAGTAGCTCTCTTCTTCCTCATGGACAGTCACCAGTCTGTGCTCTCTTGTTTGATTGCAGATCTGCATACAGCAAGGGTGGAAAGCGCCCAGGGGACGATTCGACGTCCTGCCACTCCTTCTCCAAGCCAATGGCAATGACCCAGAGCTTTTTGAAATCCCACCTGAACTGGTGCTGGAAGTACCCATCCGGCACCCCAAGTAAGTCCAGCCTCATTGAAGCCACAAAGGAGCTCTGGGGCTCTCCGGGTCCATGGAAATGGACCACCCTGGAGGTCCATTTGCATGTTCATGGGAAGGGCCAGTCTTTCCCCCACTTCTCCTCCCAAGCAGATCAAGACAAAAGCCTTCTTATGGCAGTCTTTGTTGTAAGCTTGCTAGGTAGAAAAGAAGATAGAAAAGAAGTATTGCAGAAGTCATGAACTAAAGACACCAATAAAGGAAGAAAAATAGCTCTATGGGAAATACCGCTAAGGCTGTATCCCTTGCTTTCCTTCCCAAACAGAGTTAGCTCCATCCTCAGGGTGGTTCCCATTGCTTGTGGGCCAGAGGGTGGCTACACCGGACACCACTCTCTTCTTTTGATCTGGTGCCTGATAATGGGGCCGGTCACATCACAGATGTTCCCCTTTAGCTTCACCTATTCAACAAGGTTTCCCCCAGAAAAGAAGCAGTCTGCTTTTCATTGGCCTCTTGCGTTATCTCAGGGTTTGTTGGCCTTGGTATTTCAGCTAAGAATTCTGGTGTCACCTCTTCTTCCAACTTGGATTCAGATTCTGAGGTAGCCGCCTTGGTAGGCTGCGTTTTGGGAGAACTGGGTCCAATCTGTAGAGTAGCTTAATGTTGCTTAATATCTCTAATTCTAAGGATTGGGATGAGAAATATGCCCCCCCCCCTGCAGCTCTGGAGAGTCCCTGCCAGGTCTGGTCAACCCTCTGTTGTAGTTGCTCAGCAAAACAGCCAATACAAGATGGGAGGATTTTTCATGGCTGAAAGAGGCAGCAGTGGAATCACTAACTCACTGGCCAACTCTAGCATGGGCAGCAGTTAAAGCTGCCTCTGAGCATATATAAAAAGCTTTTCTTTCTTCATGAGGACTCAATCCCTTACAAGCACCAGTTTCCCTACCTCTGCTTTTTAAATTTAAGCAACATACAGCATGTCCCAGACCCATTTCGATGGTATAGGCAAGAGGTGAGCACGTCGGCCCAAGGGTCAAATCCGTCCCTCCTTGAGTTCCACAGAAGATCGCACCCCTTTCCCCCCAAACACTGGGCCTTTGGCAGTTTCTCGAGTTTTGTGCTTTTTTGCACATCACTGTGCTGCTAAGAGGCAACTCTGGGAAGCTGAGGTGCCCGACTCAGGCCCAAGGGCCATGTCTGGCCCACCATGGGGTCCCTGATGGGCATGCCCCATTCTCCAGTCTTATCTTCTTCCCCCAGCCACTAAGCAGAACTTTTGTGCAGTTCTCCCTAATTCCATAAATTCTAACTGTTTCTTCTAAGTCTTAGTTAGCTGCAGGAAGCACTATACACTTAAGTTTGCTTTTATTTCCTTTTGCCTGTTGCCCTGTCTGGCCCTGGAATGTTGTCCCCGAGGGCTTCTCCATCAGGGTGGTAAAGGTTCTGCATCCCAGCCGCAAGCAACTCAGCAATCCCTCAGTGACTGCTTCCTGTTTGCATCCCAGGGCCCAATAATGAAAGAACCAGGTGCTGTTCTACCTGAGCATCGGCCCACAGGCAGCTTTCGAAGGCTGTCTACCTTGCCAGTCCTGCTCCAGGATTGCGGAGGTCAGGCTAGGTGACCTCCAGGGAGATTCAGCTTCAGAGTCCTTTCTGGCTGCAAGGGTCCAGTGCTCCCAGTTCAGCTAGGCTTGGCTTGCCCTGTCCTTCACAGGTTTGCCTGGTTTAAAGAGCTGGAGCTGCAATGGTACGGCTTGCCAGCAGTTTCCAACATGCTGCTAGAGATTGGAGGCCTGGAGTTCTCAGCTTGTCCTTTCAGCGGCTGGTACATGGGCACCGAGATCGGCGTCCGTGACTACTGCGACAACTCTCGCTACAACATCCTGGAGGTAGGCACTGGCTTTGGCTCGTTGATTTCAGCAGTTCAAGTCCCTTCCAATACACTATATTATGAATATATTTATAATAGTCCTACCCTGCCCTTTTTGTTCAGAATCGTGGATGTAATCCTCCCCCTCCTTTCTAGTGCATCTTCACAACAACTCTATGAGGTAGACCAGGCTGAAGCTGACTGAGGACTCAACCCTGAGTTCGAGTAAAAGGAGCAGAAGATAACATTTTAATTGCACAACCAGATGGCAATCTTAAATTGTGCGGCCCCAAACTTGGTGTTCCCAAAATTTGCATCTTGATCATTAACTTTTTCAAAACACTGGTCTATAATCAAGTCAGCTCCCAATCTAGGCCATTCATTCAATTCTGAATTTGGCTGGAGTTTTATTTCATGCCTGGATATTTACTGATGCTCACTTATTTATTTATTTATTTGCATGGCAGGAAGTTGCCAAAAAGATGAACCTGGACATGCGGAAGACCTCTTCCCTATGGAAGGACCAGGCGTTGGTAGAGATCAACATTGCTGTCTTATACAGCTTCCAGGTACCTGGAAAAACTTCTGCAGTGACCGCAGCCACTGGGCTGCACTTGAAAATGCAAGTCTTAGCCATGGTGTGTTAAAGTAATTTTAGGCTTGGACTTAGTGGCTTGCAGCTAAGATGGAGTATTGTCATCGGTTTGTTTATAAACCAATTTTCCACTGCTGAAAGCAGTTTGGGCACTCTCAGGAAAACATACGTTGTACATTCTGCAACAGTTTCCGAAAAGTAACACTCACAAGTCCTAACAAACTGTGAGCAGGCAGATGAGTTTGGGAGCAGGTTCATGGGCTGCATCCTTGTGAGACTGAAAGGACCAACCTCAAAAGCATCCTTGAATCCAGCTGCAGTCAGCCGAGCAGGAGACTCGATAGGAGCATTCTTGCTTCTCCGTGGTTTGCTTCTTCCTCTTTGCAAAGGGCCTCTGGGAAGGCCCCTCTGGCAAGGGCAGGATGCCAGAGCTGGGACAGGGCTTGGGAGACTCCTTCCAGCTGTTAATCATTTAGGGGATTGCTTTTGTAGCCAGCCCTTTTCCTCTCTCAAGGAAGCCAAGGCAGCACACAAAGTCTTCCTCTTTCTCTTTTACCTTCACAACAACCCTGTGCGGTGGGTGAGACTGAGAGCCAGTGACTAGCACAAAGCAGTCCTGGCTCAAAAATTACTTTAGATGCACACGCTTGATCTACAACAAGGATGGAAAGGACGGGAAGACCATGGGAACTACGGATAGGTTGGCAAGAGTTTCTGACTCCCACCTGCTTAATAATAGTAGTAGTTGTTGTTATTGCTGCTATTATTAGAATTATTATTATTTCTGCCACTGTGCTCACATAAGATCTGCTTGAAAACAGCTGCACTGGCTGTCCCTTAGAGACTGAGGCATGTTCAACGTTCTGTTGCTGATGTACAGAGCCCTAAACAATTGGGGGACCTTAGTGGAGGCTAGCAAAATAGAATGAATAATAAATATATGCCCCACTGACCATTAAGAACATCAGAAGAGACCTTGCTGGTCATTCCAAAATTACCAGAATGTCATTGTGGAATGCCTTGAGTGTGGAATTCTCCCTTGTGCTGCTTGGGAAGCAGAAAATGTCTTTAATTATATTATCCGGACTGCTCCATGGTCCCGCTGCTGTACATCTCTATTATTACTGCTGTAATTGGAACTGCAGGTAAAATTGTATCTTAAATGAAATTTTATTATTGGCATTTTAAAAATGATTGCAAGGTTTTTATATAAACTGCTTAGCAATCTTTAAATACCTAATGATATAGGATATCGTAAATAGGACTATTATTACGATTACTATATAACCTCATAGCAGAAGCTATCTGTGCAATTCACAACAGTTCACTAAAACACATGTAGAAGATCATAACAACCAGCATAATATTTAAATATGCAAAACTGAAAATTATATCAAGAGACTAACGGACGGGATCAAAATTTACTAGTAACAGTAATGTACCACAAGTATGCTTTACCTGAAAGCTCTTACCACCTGAAATTATGGCTTAATTTAGAACTGGGGACAAAGCTGGGAACCAAGGACAGGTGCTCAAGGGGTGTGCCCTTCCGAGGGCCTCCAGGGGGACCGCTCTGGTCTATCTATTCCTCCCTCCTCTACAGAGTGACAAGGTGACCATCGTGGATCACCACTCGGCCACTGAGTCCTTCATCAAACACATGGAGAACGAGTACCGCTGCCGGGGAGGCTGCCCTGCGGATTGGGTCTGGATCGTCCCACCGATGTCTGGAAGCATCACTCCGGTCTTTCACCAGGAAATGCTCAACTACAGGCTGACGCCCTCCTTTGAGTACCAGGTGCTGTTCCTTTGCTGCCTTCCCCGGAGCCAAGGCTCAGCCCGGGGAGCCTAGGTGGGGAACATGCCACCAGGGTCGCCACCCAGCACAGATGGACCTTTGAGGCTCCTCCGTGGTGATGGTGACCTTCCTGAGACCTTCCCACCATTGTTCTTGTGAGCCTGCCTGTCCCTGGTTTAAGCTCAGCTTGTATATTTTCTGAGCACAGATATTGCAAAGTGCCAGCAAGTCTCCAGGGACCGGCTTCCTCTGCCCTTCACAGACGTTCACGTATTCTGTGACAAATTCACATATTCTGAAGATGTGCCCATATTCTGAACATGTGGGCATGTTCGGAACATATTCTGGAGACACTGGCAAGCTAAGAAAGCACAACGCTGACTGGTTCTGGCTTTTGTCACCTTAGCTTTATTTAAGAAAATCGCCAGGGGTGGGAATTGTTTGTTTGTTTGTTTAAAACTTTTGTTTGCCATCACCACATGCCTCGGCATCTTGGGACAGCTCACAACACACACAATTTAAAACAATAAAACAATCCCTATAAATAACAAATCCCATAAAATATTATATTTTAAAAAAACGAAAACAAGAAGAGTTACTGTTAACAATAGATTAGTTTTTAAAATAGCAATTAAATAAAAAGGTTTTAACCTGGCGCCGAAAAGAATATAAACTCAGCACCAGGCACACCTCTCCAGGGAGCACATTCCATAATCTGGGCACCACCACAGAGAAGGCCCTGCTCCAGGTAGTTGTTCCTTTTATCTCCTTTAAAGAGGGCTCCCGGAGCAGGGCCTCTCCCCAGATCTTAAGGCGCATGAGGGCATCTAAGGGAAGAGGAGCTCCTTCAGGTATCCTGGTCCCAAGCCATTCAGGGCTTTATAGGTTCAAACCAGCACCTTGATTTAGTGTGCTCTCTGATCCCAAATGTCACGCTACGCTAGACTTCTTCACTCTGCGAATCCCCAGTGTGCATGTATGTTCACCAACGTACTTTGAGTGAACTCAGAGGTGTCTTGCTTGTGAGCACGATGAAGTCTACCCCGGCTGTGCGCATGCATTGCAAGACGTAATTATGCCGAAAGTCTCTAAGATGATGGATGTCAGCATTTGCATGTGGAACAGCAGAAGGTAAGGAGCTGCCTCGAACCAAGTCAGATCCTTCACCCCTGTGGCCAGGGGGCATAGTAGACGCTTCAGCCTGACTTTGGGCGAGTCTCCTCTTTCAACCAGCCCTCTTTTTTCCCTCCTCCCAGCCTGATCCTTGGAACACGCACATCTGGAAGGGGCTTAACGGCACCCCCACCAAGAAGAGAGCCATCGGCTTTAAGAAGCTAGCTAAGTATGCAGCATGGGGTGGAGCAGGACTGATGGAAGGGGCCGGGGAGGCAGTGGGGTGGAGTGTTGGCTTGGGCCACTCTGCAGCTGATGGCCAGTGTCAAGCCGGCATGGCTGGCCACAGGCCTGACCCATGCTCTGGAGTGGGGGCATTACCCATTCTTGCAGTCTCCGGAACCCAGCTTTTCTTCCTCTTCGCTGCTGTTGCCTGTCCACCTGCCTCTCCAGGTGAGTCAGCAATGGCAGAAGCAGGAAGGCACAGTCAAGTCCATCTGTCGCATTATTGTGTTAATCACCACCACCATCTTCTTCGTTATCATCATCATTTTATATTCCACCTTTTCCCCTCTTGCAAGGAAGGCGGCTTACAGAAGAATCCTCCTTTTCTTGGCATATTTAATCCCTTGAGCCCCCACTTCCAATGGAGACTGTTTTCCTTAAAGGACGTTTTCTTGGGACCAACACGTGAGTCCTGATGGGTCTGCACACCTTGGGAGCTCAGCTCCCTGGCTGCTTTCTCCATACTTCTTCAGATCAGGCTATACTTTCCCCATATGAGCCTGTGGATTATTTATTTAAAGCATTCTTATTCTGCTTTTCAACCTAAAGGCACCCAGAATGGCTTACGTGCACCCAGTAAAGCAAGACAGCCCCTGGCCATGGATGTGCAATCCAAAATGACATGACACACAAGGAAAGAGGGATGGGGAGGGAAGAGGAAAACTTAAAGTTGTTGTTCATCAGGACATGGCCGAGCTCCCTATTTTGGCTCTCTGTATAGCCTGCTGGAAAGTACTGAGCAGTCATGGGCTGGGCCATGCCATCTGAGTAGAAGCAGGGGTGTTTTCTGGGGCTGCCAGCTTTTAAATTCAGCTGCACAAGTAACAGCACCTGAGAAATCCCCCAGCCCACCTTTGGTAGTTTCCACAGAGGTCAAAGGGGGGGAAAGCACAGGTGGTTTCCAGGCAGAGCCATTTCTTGACATCCAAGTTTGAGTCGGCATCCAGGAGAAGTAAAAGGAGCCAAGCTGGTCTACCGAAACAGAAGTGCAAAGAAACAAAGGCTGTTAATTATAACTACATTCCAAGCATGCTACTGATAAATGGGCTGCATTTAAAAAAAAAATGTGACTCTGATTGGTAGCTCGTCTTCTTCATTGTCGCCAGTGCCAGGGTGTATTTTAATTCCTATAAATCTAGCTTGGAACTGGGCTGATCTGCTTCTAATCTACTTTGGGGCTGGTGGCAGAAAATGCAAAACTTGGCATTTCTAGAAATTAGAGCTGAGCTAAAGGGTTTCTTTCAGAAGGTGTGGTTCTGGGAGACAGATGCAAAATGTTCTGCAAAGTTCTCTCTCTCTCTCTCTCATACACACACACACACACACACGCGCTCGCGCTCTCTCTCTCTCTCTCTCTCTCTCTCTGTCTCTCTGTCTCTCTCTCTCTCTCTCTCTCTCACTCTCTCTCTCTCTCTCTCAGTAAATTCAGATGAAGACTGTCAATAGACACTGGTCCCTCCATTTGGCCCAAGAAACAAGAGGGGGACCAGCCACGTGTCCCAGGAAACTCCATGGTTTGCAGAAGTGCCTCAAAATCTTGATGAAAAATAACCTTATGAGCACAATATATTCCAAGCAAAAGGAGATATGAGTGAGCTCAATATTTAGTGTGTGTTTAGCATCAATGAAAAATGAAAAATTAGTCCAGGGCAGGAAAAAATGAAACAGAAATAGTCTGTTAGAAGAGGACGTGGTTGAAACCTTGGAGAGGAGCATTTCTTTTAGAAAACGTTGAGGCACTGCAATACTTTATTGTACTTTCCTAAATGCAAGCAAATCTAGATAACATACTAAAAAGCAGAGACATCACCATGTCAACAAAAGTGTGTATAGTCAAGGCTATGGTTTTCCCAGTTGCAATGTATGGCTGTGAAAGCTGGACCATAAGGAAGGCTGAGCGCCGAAGAATTGAGGCCTTTGAATTGTGGTGCTGGCGGAGACTCCTGTGAGTCCCCTGGACCTCAAGGCGATCAAACCGGTCAGTCCTAGAGGAGATCGACCCTGACTGCTCTTTAGAAGGCCACATACTGAAGATGAAACTCGAATACTTTGGCCACCTAATGAGAAGGAAGGACTCCCTGGAGAAGAGCCTAATGCTGGGAACAATAGATGGCAAAAGAAGGAGGGGACGGCAGAGGATGAGGTGGCTGGATGGAGTCACAGAAGCAGTTGGTGTGAGCTTGAGTGGACTCTGGGAGATGGTGGAGGACAGGAAGGCCTGGAAGAATGTTGTCCATGGGGTCGCAATGGGTCAGACATGACTTCGCAACTAACAACAACAAACGCAAGAGCCACACACCTTTTTGTCCTCATTCCACACAAGGTGAATGTACCGAATGCAGTTCCATACATTAGACTCATCCCTTCCCTGTGCTCTATCCAATTTGCATGGAACAGAAATTAAAATGGGCTGCAGCCAGGAAGATCCTTTGAGGAAGAAGCACGAATACATATGAATGCAAAAGAGCTGCAACCTGAATCCATGCAGGAGAGCCGAAGCGGACTTGAGCCAGCCCTCAGTGGGCATCCAAACAACTCACCCAAAAGTCAGATGGAGCACCTGCCAGCCTGGAAAAATATAAAATGAAGTACGACCTTTTTCATTTGTTGAAGAGGTATCAAAGCATTTGCTGACCCAGTTGGTTACATTTACTGATGTCTGTCCAGTGGGCTTACAGCTCTTCTCAATCACTGTAAAAGCTTTAAGAGATGCTACAGTGATTATCCTTTCCCTGGAATTACCTTTGTACCCACCTGCTCTATCCTCTAGATTTTAATCTGTAGGTGAGGTATGCTGAGCACAATTTTTTTTCTTTTTTAGCATCCTCTTTTTTCCTTGATGAGCTGTTGTGCTTCACCTTTATGTTCAGTTAATGACCTTTCCCTTATGTAATAGAAAAGCAAATTTAAGCACCAAGGACTCCCTAAATCAAGGGAAAGTGCCATATATTCGAAGCTGCCTTACAGGGCTGACTGCAGGTTTTGGGGGGCACTGGGAAAAGGCATCCTGAGCATCAGGCGTGATGCGAGGCAAACACCAGTAGGACAAGGGCCCCAAATTTTTCATTTGGAGCACCAAATCTCTGGAAGGCCAGTCTTTTGGTAGCTCCCTGGCTTTTGTGCAGTCCCCCCTCCCATTCTAAAATGTTCCACCAGACTGCAGGCCCCCCCTAAAGTTACGGGGGGAGCAAGTAAGTAGTGGAGGTATTTTAAAGACCAAACTGTCGCCCCTTATTATCCATGCCATAGTTTTACGGCCGAATTGCAACATCCCATGTGCTTTGAAATACACCTGTCTCTTTTGCACGCTACAGTTTTAGAAGGATATTTTGGAAAAAAGAAATCTTTGGTGGGCTCATCGGAGAAGCATCCCAGGTGACTCTCTCTTACTCAAAGAACGTTCAAGGGTTTGGGACGGCATTTGCTCTTCTCCTGCTGCCTGGCAATGTGTGTGCACACCTGGATTATGCATTGGCAAATCGGCGAATGCGGAAATAAAAATCTTAGTAGCAAATCTGGAGAGTGAGGGGCTGTGAGGACCCCAGATCCCTCCATATCAAGGACCCTTTTTTCTTGGAACCATGCAAGCCTTCCAAGGTTTTAAGATCTTCAGATATGGCTGCCTTTAGAGGTGCCTTTGGTGAAGATTCATCAGCAGCAACATCATCTCATTTCTATACAGCCCCACAGGTACTGTTCATCTTAGCGATCACTTCCAAACTCTGGAGCTCCCTGCTGAGGAACACTAAGTTGGCTCCCCCTCTCTTGTCCACCCACCACCAAAGGTTTTTTAAAATTGCTTTTTAAAATTTTTAATTATTTTTGAATCTGTTCAGAAATTATTCAAGCAGGCCTTTGCCTTGCCCATTGTTCTCTGAACCTTTGGGTACTTTTCATTTCTTTTAGTCTTTTGTTAAAATAAAGTGTTATGGTTGTTTGAAATAAGCCTCTGTTTTAATCTTGGTGGTTCTCATTGTTTGCAGCCTTGAGTGCGATTTCCACCCCCAAACAGACGAGGCATGCATTAATTCATTAACTGGAACATTTTCCCCTCCCTCCTAGAGCTGTGAAGTTCTCTGCTAAGTTGATGGGGCAAGCGATGGCGAAGAGGGTGAAGGCGACCATTCTGTATGCCACAGAAACAGGGAAGTCCCAGGTCTATGCAAAAACCTTGTGCGAAATCTTCAAGCATGCCTTCGATGCCAAGGTAGGTTCCTGGCTCCCCTCGTCAGGGAGGCATTATGGGCTGATATGCGCAGCCTCCAGTTCCACGCACACACACGCGCCCTGGCCACGGCACGGCACAGCATGGCACTGCACTGGGGCTCTTCAGACCACAGGGCAATGTTTGTGACAGCGGCAGACTGGGCTGGGAAGGGCCTTTATCACGTGCAGTGCCGATGTTTCATCTCCCCTTTAAGAGCAAGCTTTGCAGGTGCTGGGGGAGGGGTGTGCAGCTCTGCATCTTAGCCCAAGGGACCTCTTGGGCAGTGCTGGGGATGCCCAGGGCTTCATCTCCTCCCAAGTCCCAGCTGGAGGCTTTGCAATCATTCCTCCTTAAAATGTTTGCTGCTTATTTTCTGTTTTGTCTGTTTGCGTGGCGAAAGATAAAGAAATGCGTGTACATTGACCAATGTTCCTTCAAACAGTGCTCCTTGTAAAATGTCCTTTTTAAAAAAAGCATGCTTTGAATAGGTGGGTGAGCAGCCCAAAGCAAAATGACAGATGCCCAAACCAGTATTTGATTCACCAAGGGTCCATCCAGCAGTTTGCAGAAAGCAGCCTTATATCAACAGTCAAGGAGCCAGGGTGGTGTCTTCTTTTTAAAGGACGGGGCTGACTTGGCCCTGGCACTCTGTGGAAGATGGCATTTGGATCAGAACCTCCAAGCCCTGACATTCCCGTGATTCTGCAACCCTATGAAAACCCTATGAAAAGTCCACCTGATTTTGGGCTCCCCTTAGCACATGTCTCTTTACTTTTTTATGGGGTACTGGGTGGAAAAGGGTAGGTACTGCCCTGTTTGTGTTCCCCCTGTCATTGAGAAGAGATGAGAAGAGCATTTATTCCTGTTTCCTTAAAGCATCTGTATTTTATCCTGGAGACTTTCAGCACCAAACCTCATCGCAACCTAGAAGCGAACACTGCAGTGGCAACACACCTGCGTGCATTCACCTCTCCGTTTGGGTGCGACCTTTGTAGACACCGTGGTGAATTGCTGGGGGGGGGGAGTCTTCTGAACAGTCTTTTCTGCCTGTGCACCAGGTGATGTCAATGGACGAGTACGACACCGTCCACCTGGAACACGAGACCCTTGTGCTGGTGGTGACGAGCACCTTTGGCAATGGAGACCCACCTGAGAATGGGGAGGTAAGGAGGGATGCTCTCTGCAACTCATGGCGGTTTTGTGCACCTGCCTGTCCAAGCAAGGGCCCCTGCCATTCTTTGGCAGCCCTTCCGCTGCAGCGCGTCGAAGGTCCATCTCTCTCACTCGCACCTGTGGCAGGTGTGCAGTACCTCAAGCCCGCATGCCTAATTCGGCCTCCAGGGTTGCCCTGGTAACCACACCTCTTTTCCCCACGTATATTGCCGGTCCCCTCTCAATGGCTTGGTGCTTTTGCAGCATCCACTTAGAGTTTCCCCCATGTTTAAAAAGTTGAAATGCCTCTCCTGAGCCTAAGTTATTAGCAGCAAGAGCTTTAGGCAAAAGTCTGGTGGCATGGGGAGGGGGGGCAGGCCCAGTTTTGCCTTTGGTACCCCCCTTTTTTGGTTTCAGACCTGCCCACCATGGGAATACAAACCCCGGGAGTTTCACCACATGAATCTGGGTTTTGGGCCTAAAGAGGGTCCCACTCCAGGACGGAAGTGCCTCGCAGCTCTTCTGACCTTTCTCTGCCCACTTGCTGCAACCAGCAAAATGGCCAGTTCATGAGGACCGGCGCCAGGGGGACGATGGGGCCAGCCCCGCATCCAGCATCCTTGGGCAGGTGTCAGGACCCACTCATGATGCCTGCCGACGGCCCCCTTTCTTTTCCATCCCAGCACTCGGAGCAGTGCCAGGCCCAGGGCTGAGCAATCCTTTGCATTTCCCACAATGCTCCTGGATTCAGCTGGGGCATTGTGGGAAGCTAAAAGCATGGCAAAGCTCAGCCACCCAGCACTGCCTGCACCCTCCAGGTCCCCCTGCAGAGGCACAGAAACGAGACAAACCCCCTCACTGGCACTGGGTGGCTTGGACTGGCCTTTCAGAGGGGGTGGGCCTTCTCCCCTGCCACCCACCTAGATCTGTTGTTCGTGGCCGTTCTCCTGGCCATGCTTGATGTCGCTGCTCTTCTGCCACTTTTCTTTCCTTTGGCACCCAGAAATTTGGCTGCGCTCTGATGGAAATGAAGAATCCCAACTCCAACCTGGAAGAGAGCAGGTGAGTGAGGGGCGCTGGCGGCGTTCCATGCCGCAGGCCCTGCAGGGTCCCTTTCTAGGCATGCCGCCATGCCTCAGCGCCCCAAAGAAGCCTTGTTCCAGGGGAGCGGAGCGCTGATGCCGGTGGGGTGCCAGAAACAGCAGCCCTTTCTGGACGTCACCTCTGGTTTCTGAGGCCAGGCTGTAGTCCCAGTCCCGAGTCTCCACACCCCGGTGGTTCACTACCATGCTTAAACCTTCTGCTTCTAAATCCCAGAACTCTTGATAGCTTCCCTTGTTTGCTCTTTCATCATCATCTGGCCTTCATCTATAGACAGTGTCATGTGCCATCCCACCAGCCCCTGGTTTCAATTATTTTTTTAATTCATTCATTCCTTTTTATACTGCCCAATAGCCAAGGCTCTCTGGACAGTGAACAACAGTGTAAAAGACACGCACACGAATTAAAAGACCCAAACCATAATTGCTGTTGCTATTATTCAGCACAGAAGCACAGCAGGGTTGCAGAAATAAAAAGGGATATATAAAAACAAAGTTTGAAGGTTACTGTGTTAAAGTGCTGGGGAAATAAAAAGGGTTTTACCTGGTGCTGAAAAGAATGCGAAGTAGGCACCAGACACCACTCTTTTCGAAAGCTTCCAAAAGTTTCCAAGATTCCAGGTGAGTGAAGGCTTTTTCTCTACCTTTTTAAGCCCCTGCATGTAAGGGCTTCTATACACAAGGCATTTGCTCTGCACTTGTGATGCCAATATTGTTCTCCTCCAGGTGTTTCAGCTTTTTCCCTTTTTTTAGATCAAGGAAAGAGCAGTGTTATTTTGAAACTTCTAAATAAGTAGTATTTTTAAGCCCACAAAAGTACTAATATCCACTGTAGCAACAACAATAGCAATAACAACAAGGATTCTTTACAGAGTAACCATTTGCTTGCCCTTTCATGACATGCTAAATTAGCAAGCTAAGACAGCCTCCTCGTTCTGCTTCGTGGTGAGACAGGCCCCTGGGGGGGAGGGTCTTTTAAGGGGTGACACCTAGATTTTGGAAACATTCTCCAGGGATGTTTGATTGCCCCTTGCTGGGCCTTAATGGAACCATGAAAATAACATACGAGTAGAAATGCAAGTCTTCAAGGTGCTTCACAGTTGCATTACAACTAGCACTAACTTGTTGTAATGCTTACTGCAATCTTGTAAAGGTAGTGCCATTGACAGTTTTATTACAGGTGACTGAGAGTCGCTTGTCAGATGCATTCACAGTGAAGGTTCAGATCTGAACTAGGATCCCCTCATTTGTACAGGGGCCGTGTAGTCTCTGTGCTACACCCGCTCTCCTCGTGCCTTTGGTTTGATTTGATTGTTTCAGTCTCTTGTTATTTGAGCAACGTTATTTGACATTGCTGAGATTTTTAAAACCTTGCTATTTGATATACTGCCTGTGATCAGCTGTATTTTAGGTATTACAATGAGGCTTTGAGAGTTTTCCAACCTAAAGGTGGGATGGAAAGGTTCCAATAAATAACAGAGCCAATCCTGTGCATAGCTTATTGCCAGGAAAGTAGAGATAAAATTGCAACCTAAGTAAATTTAGGACAATAAAGAGGGTGGGAGAAAAGAGTATAATTCTCAGTATTTCCACTGCCACAACTCTAATCAAACTCAGAGAGTTGCATCTGATACTAATCCTTCTTAGAGTGGACCCATTAAAATGAATGGGATATAATTTCAGCATGGCTAACCCAAATTCCATTTCATTTCAGTGGGTCTATTCTGAGTAGGACTAACATTCAATACAGCCCAGAACTTCTCACAATTTTTTTTAAATAGGAGGAGGAGGAGGACAACGACATGTCGGGACATCTAATCTAGCACCTTGTTCACACACATGGCTGGTTCTCAAGGGCGCGCACACACACACACACACACGTCCCCCATTCTTCCCCCTGGAGGTTCTAGCACTGCTTCATCCCTGTTTTACAGGAGCTACAAAGTGCGTTTCAACAGCGTCTCCTCGTATTCCGATGCTCGGAAGTCCTCGACTGATGGACCAGAAGCCAGGGACAACTTTGAGAGTACCGGTCCCCTAGCGAACGTCAGGTGAGCAAGGAGGACCAAGGCTGGGCAGAAGTGATGCAGGAGGATGTGCGGGTGACCTTGTTGTGGAGGCGAGCCTAGTGCATTGACCATCCCGGCTTGTGTGAGGCCGACGTCTCTCTTTCCGCTGGCCACCTTTGTTGGGGTGCGAACCCTCTGCAGACGCTTCTCACTAACCAGTGGTGGCCCCCCTCTGTCTGCCTGCTTGCAGGTTCTCTGTCTTTGGCCTGGGCTCCCGAGCGTACCCCCACTTCTGCGCCTTTGCCCGGGCTGTGGATACACTCTTGGAAGAGCTGGGAGGAGAGCGCATCCTCAGGATGGGCGAGGGAGACGAACTGTGTGGACAGGAGGAATCCTTCCGGACGTGGGCCAAAAAAGTCTTCAAGGTAGCCTGCTTCCATTTTTTTCCTCTTGGAGGTTCTCCCACCACAGGGCTGGTTCTAACACGAACCTTTGCTAAGTGGTGGCTTCGGTGAGAGAATTCCAGAAAACGCCTAAGGTGGGTGCTGGGAACACTCACTGCCTCAACCGAGGCACCGGAGGGTGCTGGGTTTATTAGGCTAGGCTTGGCTAGGCCTCACGTCTCACCTAGGACTGCCAGAAGGAGGAAACATAACACCTGAAGCCCAGCTTTTTAAAATATAGCCTGCATCAGCTACCATTGGGTGCTTTTCCTGCTTTTGTGTGGTTCTGCCCCATCCTAAAGGTTGTACTGCCTCTCCGAAAACTTTTGCAACTGGCCGGAAAGAGCACTAAGCTAACACATGCTGGATTTTCTGTATGTTTGGCCTCCCACTTTATGCCTTTCACCCCACCCATCCCTGACAATGGAAATTAAATTTGGCCTGCACGCTCTTGATCAAGGATGGGAAGCGTATAATGCCACAGATGCTTGCCTACCACTCCCATGCTCCCTCACCAATGATTATGCTGCCAAGGGCTCATGGGAGTTGTAGGCCAAAACATCTGGAGAGCCATGAGCACCGTGCACCAGGCTTCATGCCTTTTCCAAATCTCATGTCTGCACACCAGCTTGGAGCTGGCGGGGGAGGGAGGTGCCAGGCTAGCCTTCCTCCCACTTTGTCTGGAGTGCCTGGTGTGTCCTGCAGGCAGCGTGTGATGTGTTCTGCGTCGGTGACGACGTGAACATCGAGAAGGCCAACAACTCCCTCATCACCAACGACCGGAGTTGGAAGAGAAACAAATTCCGCCTCACTTATGTGGCCGAAGCCCCCGAACTGACGCAAGGTATGGATGCGCTCTCCTCATTTCTTGGACCGGTGAGAGGACTGGGGGGCAGAGGGGCCTTACCTGGCTTTGCCTACCTGTGATGCTTTTATAGGTTTACAAATATACCGGGAGGATGCATCAAGATGAGGGGTTTCTAGCACCAGCCCAGGGCGACCATCACGCTCTTATTTCACCCTCTCTTTCTTGGTGGGTGCCCTAGAAACACAGAAGACCATTCTTATCTCGAGGAGTTCACTGAGTTTATTTCAGAATATGTGCATATTGCGCCATATCTAGGCAGATTCCAGAGCAGTGAGCAATCAAAGGGGAAAATATAGGGGAAAAGATTTTGGAAAAAACCAGTGCAATGGAGACAGGATAATGTTAAAACAGCGGCTCGTGAGCAAGAAAAGCATCCTTGAACAAAGCTGTCTTCAGCGGTGAAAACAGCACTGTGCTGATGCATGCCTGGCCCGCAGAGACAGGGGGCTCCAGAAAAATGGGGCCACCACATTGGAGGCCCTTGTCCTGCTGAACTCCAGTTGGGCCATGGGTCTGTGTGGAACCACTGGAAGGATGTTGTCCAGTGACCGCAGGGACTGGGCAGGTTGGTAGAGGAGAAGACGCTCTGTCAGGTATCCTGGCCCCAAGCTTTATACACTCTTACCATCCTTTAAACCTGGCCCAGTAATGAACAGACAACCAGTGCAGTTTTCAGTGGAGGAGTTGCATCAGGACAGATTTAAAGCTGCTGCTTTCTTCACCCACTCCAGATTCTGGGGCAAACTTAAAGGCAGTTCCATAGAGATCCCATTGCAATAATCCATCCTGGATGTTACTAGAGCTTGTATCATGGGGCTGAACTGTACCTCTCAAAGTGAGAGGGGGCTGTCAGACCAATCAAAGATGGCAAAAGCCATTCCAGGTCACAATATCACTTGGGAGACAGCATGGCCTAGTGGTTAACATGTTGGATTGGAAAGAGGAAGATCCAGGTTCGAGTCTGCACTCAGCCACCAAACTCCCTGGGTGACTTAGTGGTTCTCGGCTTCATGGGGCTGAGATGTCATTCTGTCATCTGGAAGTGTTTTAATGCTCTTAAGTGCTGCTGTTTCCTTTCCTTTGCTTTCCTTTTCCCTTTTTTCCTTTTCCCTTTTTCTTTGTTCTCTTTTTTGAATATTTTTACTCTCTTAACCTAAGCAAGTACACAAAAAAAGAATGTGAAACAGAACAAACTAAAATGAACAAAGCAAGCTAAAACGAACCAAGTTGCCAAGGGAATTCTGTACAAATGCAACCTATACATTCGACCCCCAAATCTATCTATCTTCCTGTCTTTTGACACTCTATGAAAGTTTAACAAAAAAGAAATCATTAATCTATACAACAACAACTCTTCCAATCACTTCCTCTACTGCTTTTTTTCTTTTCCATACTCCCCTCAGATTCCATTAATCATACTGAGCCTAATAAAATTTCCATTTATCATTGAATTCTTCTAAAGGTCTTCTGTTCATTAGGGGGGCTGCTTTTTTCTGCTGTATTTTATTGTACCTCTCTATTGTAAACCACCCTGAGATAAAGAGGGTCTCGGGTGGGATTTCAGTGTTCGAAGGAAATGCATTAAAATCTAGCAAATACAGTTACTCATAAACTGATTTTGCCACAAAATGTTAAATGCATCACCCTCTTGCTGAGACTCCACAGGATTCTGCAAGGGTTTAAAATATGCCGAGTTAGTACAAACCCATCAGTGTTAAGGCAAGGGAATGCAATTCCTTGAACAATGAAGAACGCAAAGAGTCAGATATCCATCTCTTTCCTTTTCTTCCACTGGTTCTTCCATTTCTCATGGTCTCTCTTTCTCTCTTTCTCTCTTTCTCTCTTTCTCTCTTTCTCTCTTTCTTTCTTAGGATTGTACAGCATCCACAAAAAGCGCATCTCTGCAGCCCGGCTTCTAACACGTCAAAATCTACAAAGCCCCAAATCCAGGTAGGAGCTGCAGAACAGCTTTCTTGTGCCCAAGGGAACTTGCCCAACAAAACTGGCTAGTTTAACAGTAGGAATAATTCCAAAATGTGATTTGATGATGACTTCTTTTTCATACATGACTAATCTGCTATAATTCTGAGACACCTGTAAATATGTATATTGTACTATGCGTTCACCAGGGCTTCCCAAGCGTTAGAGGTCAGTGGCCACATCTGGAATTTTAGACAGAGTATCATGAGCACTCTCACAAAATGGCTGCCAAGAGGATCTTGCCCATTCATAAAATAGCCACCCTGGTGAGCCGGACCTGTCTTAAACACTCGTTTGCCAAAAGACAAATGTACAAGATCAAAACTAACTTTCCCAAGATCCCAAGAACAAGGCAGAGTTGCTGTCAAGGCTCCAAACACAAAGCCACTTTTTAAAATCCAAATACAGGTGATGATGGAGGTCAACTCCCATTTCATTTTTTGCAATTAAAAAAAAAAATCTTAAAATAGAAAGTAAAACAAGGACCCTGGAAAACATCGGGGACATTGTTGACTCAGAGGTACATACTTTGCCAAATGTAAGAAGAAATTGTAACCCCTGCTAAAAGTACTCACAGAAGATGTTTTAGTACCTGGAAAGAATGCGTTGAAAGCATAGCATGTTCTCAACCTCCTCCTCACTTCAGTCGCTCTACGATCTTCCTGCGACTTCACACGAACGGGCACCAGGAGTTGCACTACCAACCCGGGGACCACCTGGGGGTGTTTCCGGGCAACCACGAAGACCTGGTCAATGCTTTGATCGAACGGCTGGAAGATGCGCCTCCTACCAACCAGCTGGTGAAAGTGGAGCTGCTGGAAGAGAGAAGCACAGCTTTGGGTAAGTCAGGATGGCTGCTGAGAATCTCAGTGATGGATCCGATCGGGTTTACCTGCGCAGGGTACTTTCTCACTTGCATAGGATGTTGTGACTTGGTGTGACATCCCTCGGAATGGCTTGCTTCATTCAAGGAAGGGGCTCTCAACAAGAGGCCTTTGGGCTTGACCACCTCTCCAGAGTGTCCATCCATTCCAGGAGGGTCTTCAGAGCAAAAGATGAGGAGGGGCAATGGGAAGTTGTGAGAGTGCCACAGCCAGTTTCAGGCAGTCTTGTTGTTGCCCCCAGAATTGGATGCCCAAGGCACCGACACCCACCCCAAAGAAACTGTCTGGTAGAACAAAGAGAGCCAGAAGGGGGCTCATGCGCAGCTCCTCCCCATGCGAAGTGGTAGGTAACCAGGTGGTGTCCTGGCAGGTGTCATCAGCAACTGGACAGATGAGGACCGCATCCCACCTTGTACCATCTTCCAAGCGTTCAAATACTATCTGGATATCACCACCCCTCCCACTCCAATCCTGTTGCAGCAGTTTGCCTTACTGGCCACCAGTGACAAGGAGAAAAAATGCCTCCAAATTCTCAGCAAGGTAAGCTAAGTCGGGAAGAGAAGGGAAGGGAAGGGAAGGGAAGGGAAGGGGGAAGGGGGAAGGGAATCGAATCGAATCGAATCGAATCTGTGGTGGGTTCAGCAACTGGGCCCATTTCTCCCAGCATCCCAAGGTGGATTCCCCTGAACTGGAGAAAAACCTGGGACAGAAATTCTGAGTGGAAATGCCAAGGCCAGAGGTGGCCTGGTTCCCACCAGCCACTGGGTTTCTTCTGAAGCTTGCTGGTGCTGGTGCTTCCGGGAAGAATCCCAGCCCTGCTGCATCCTGCAGTGCGGATGTGGCCTCTGGGGTGACCACCTTGGAAGGCTGCCTCTTGGGAGCAGCAGGACAAGCCCTGCGTTGGCGACTGACAGCCAGCAGGGGCAGTAGAGAGGGGAAGGGGGGCCACTGAGTGGCCGGCTGCGAAGGCCCATCCTCTCTCGTGCAGGGTCTGCAGGAATACGAGGAATGGAAGTGGTCCAAGAACCCCACGATGGTCGAAGTGCTGGAAGAGTTCCCGTCCGTGCAGATGCCGTCCACGCTCCTCTTGAGCCAGCTCCCGCTGCTGCAGCCCCGCTACTACTCCATCAGCTCCTCCCCCGACATGTACCCTAACGAGGTGCACCTCACGGTGGCCGTGGTCTCCTATCGCACCAGAGGTAAATGATCCCCGCTCCCAGTAGCCGGGATCAAGACCACACATCTAGCAAAATGGCCCTGGGCCTATTCCAGCCCCTCTCATCCTCCTTGTTTGAGCTTCGGGGCTGGATCCTGTTCTGGAGGCGCTTTGGGGAGCAGCATTCCAATAGCTGGGGGGGCCCAAGGAGAAAGGAGCAGGGCTAAACATGCGAGTATATTTTTTCTTTTTTCGTTTTAATTTCCAAACTAAAATACAATCAAAAGAACACTACATTTAAAATACAACCATAAGAATTTGACATTAAAAACAACCATTATTACAATGCTGTACGCCCCATCCCCAGGACCAAGGACATATGTCACAATTTTTAAAAAGAAAAATTCATTGGACAGCACAAATCCTTTCCCTTCCTTTAAAACATACTCAATAAATACACCCCAAATCTCATTAAATTTAGTTTTATATGCCCTTTGCTCACTTTCTTATCACAAGCTAATTTGTCTTTAATAGCTATATTCCAAACATCTCTATACCAATCAGACAATTAGTAATTATATTTTATTTTCCAGTTCTTAGCTATAGTTAGTCTTGCTCCAGTGATTAAATTTGCCACCAATGCAATCTCAGGGCATATAATTTATACTTAACTTAATATTTTACTGCACTTTTTAAAAACCTCTTTCCAAAATGATGTTATATGTTTGCATTCCCACCACCTATGGAAACATGTACCCACTTCACAATCACATCTCCAACATAAATCGGAGTATTTATCTTCTACACAATTGCAGTTAGGTACCACTTCCATACAATTTTATAGAAATGTTCCTTTTTTCTTCCTGACATACATTTTAATATCCTTTTCGTCCAAATATTTTCCCAATCTTTATTAACTAAAGTTTTTTTTTTCTCAAATCAAAATTGGGTATATTTTCACGTAAAGCCATCCTGCTTGTAACTAAAAGTTAGGAGAGGCATCTCAGCTTTCTAGAGCACACAGTGGGGAAAACTGCTAGGACTGGACCGAAGCCTTTCCTGGAATTGGAAGGTCTTCAGGGGAAGCCATGATGCCGGCTGGAGCCTGGCATCCCCTCATCCTTCCAAGACCTTGTGCTGAAAGCGATGCCTACAGGGCACACCAGCTCCATCAATTGCAAGACAGGCCGGGCAGGTGCCAGATTTGGGTTTAGGAACTCCAGGCTCTGGTCTGGCCTTGACGGTCCCACGCAAGGTTGGCCTGCCTGGTGCTAGGGCTCTGTATTTGCGACTTTGTGTTTGCATTGTGTGCATTAACCAGTCTTTCTCCTGCGATCTCCTAGATGGGGAAGGGCCAATACACCACGGAGTCTGTTCCTCCTGGTTCAACCGGATACAGGCGGATGAAATAGTGCCATGTTTTGTCAGAGGGTAAGATAAGGAATACCAACCGGCTCGCTGTGGGTCTGCACCTGTAGACTGGAGGGTGCTTTCCATCTTTCCAAGTATCTATGATCCACCAATCCTTTTATTCCTACTTTTGGTGCTGGTGAAGAGTCTGTAGGACCAAACTGGGCTGCAATCCTGAGCACGCCTACCTGAGAGCAAGCGCTGTTGCGGAATCCTGAGAATCCGTGCACAGCAAGCCCTGTGAAGTCCAATTGCTTTGGTTTAACCAGAACAGAAATGTTGCACATGGAGAGAACAGTGCCCAGTAAAGTTGCGGCTCTTTTCAGCTGCATCCCACTCCACGGCGGCCCTCCAGGGCCACATTCCAGTGGTGAGGAGGGCCACAGACAAACAGGGCTGGCGAAAAAGGACCGGCCTACTTTACCTGAAAGCTCTTCCTGCTTGCAAGGCAGTCCTAGGAGAGGCATCACACCCCGAAAACTAGGAAACCACCAAATGATGGGGTGGGGGCAAAAACAGGTGGGGCTATCAGGGGTCCAGTTTTGGCCCCTCGATGCAAGGTTCTGAACCCCTAAATGATAAGAACGGATGCACCCTATTCAGAGAATTAGAGCAGAAGCAGCATTGCATCCTAAGGGGAACGCAAATCATTTCACTTGGGACCAGCACGGTGCCAGCACCTGGGGTAAACCCACACATCTGATCCCAATGGAATGCTCTTCCTCTCCTTCTAGAGCTCCCGGGTTCCACATGCCACAAGATCCACAGGTTCCCTGCTTCCTGATTGGTCCTGGGACTGGGATCGCGCCTTTCCGGAGCTTCTGGCAGCAGCGGCTTTTTGACATCAAGCAAAAAGGTGGGTGCCATCCAGCATCAGCTGTGCCTTTCTGCTCCTGCGCAGGAATACCCAGCTGTTGTTTCTGCGGGAGGGAACAACCCCCGGCCCAGGCCTGAACGGTCAGATATTTGGGGACTGGGCTGCTAACAAAGGAGCCGGGCAGCTGCTGGGTGGCTTATATTTATAAGTATATATTTATACTTATATTTATATTGTTATTTTTATCTTCTGTAAGCCATCCTGAGCTGCTGCAAAGGATGGCATATAAATATTTAAATTAAATTAAATTAAAAATTAAATTATATAAGGGCAGATGTAGTGTCCTGACTTTTGAGCCCCGCACTTACGCAGAACCAACCTCAGGGTCTCCACTGTGGGGCATCCGCTAAGGCCCAGACCAATTCAGGGGGTCCACTGCTGATCTCCTGGGCCCCCCGTTCCTTCTGCTCTCTGTCACAGCTTTTCATTTGGCTTCTCCCAACATGCATGGAAATAGATCCAGGGCTTCATCAAAGGCTACTTGTCACTGAGAAAATCATTGTTATTGTTATTGATGGTGATAATGATTTAAGTCACCCATCCAGATTTCAACCACGACCAACCCTGCTTAGCTTCCAAGATTAGGCAGGATCAGGCACTTCTGGCTATATGGAAGCTAACTTCTCACTTGCCGTTTTGTAGAACACAGTTCCAAAGCAACTCGGTTGGATTGAGGCAATCACACTTTCAGGCAGGGCTGTTGGAGCTCAAGCCAGCAAGCCCAATCTCAAGAGAGGCAGATCTGACCCACTCCAGTCTCCAGGATAGCTCTCCCCACTTTCCCCAACCACTGATCATTGGGTGGCATTTGGCTTCACTGCTTTGGCCACCTGCTTCTGAAATGGACCGTTCCAATATATCCGAGGTCAGACGCAGCCCTTGGGCTGGATGAGGGTCCAGAGAGCCTTTGTAGCAAGCTGCGTATCCGTTTGCCCGCAATGCCCTGGAGTCATTGCCCACCACCACCATTTTCCTGATGTTTTCATGTCTGTACCATCAAATAGCTTCATTGGGGGGGGGGGGTCACTCACACCCCTCGTGCTTCCTTCTCCCCTCTGCCAGGGCTGAAGCCGTGCCCCATGACGCTGGTCTTTGGTTGCCGACAGTCCAAGATAGACCACATCTACAGAGAGGAGACTTTGCTGGCCAAAAACAAAGGCGTCTTCAAAGAGCTGTACACAGCCTACTCCCGCGAGCCAGACAAGCCGAAGGTAACCTCACCCACCCTTCAGCACACCCAGAACAGTCCTTCCTGGTGACCCTGTAGGAGAGCACTCAAGCGGTGACACAGGGAAGGAAGAAGGAGCGTCTGGTCAGGTGCAAAGCCCATCTCCCCCCGTCCCGCACCCCTGCGGCGTAACTCGGCCACGCTCCCAAAACCTTTCAGGCAGGGAAGCTGGTTAGACTGTCTGGGTCACCGCCTGCTGAAGCGTGCAGGCATGTGGCTCCAAGAAGCAATATTCCGTGGTCATGGAGGGTGCACGGGAGACAGCAGCCACTGAGGAGAGCTGCGCTGGGAATCCCGCCCCACCAGCAGCTGCAAAAATTAGGGTCCAGAAATTCCCCGAGAAGAAGACAAGGAACAAAACTCTTGTTCCCCACACCTCACTCCTGGGAAGCTTTTGACACATTCCCGGTCCCTCCTGGAGTCGCCCAGCCCCCGCCCTCCCGTTCAAAGAACATGAAGTGGGCCCTGCAACTGGGCAAGTGACATCTTCAGGGTTAACCAGACATAGTCCAGTCTCCAGACCAGCCCCCTTCCCTCCCCTTTTCCTATCTGTCCTTTTCTCCTGGTTAGAGAAGAAAGTTCAGTCCTCTGGCCTGTGGGATGTGCTAGGGGGCTGAGCCAAGGGCCCCCAACACATCCCATGATGCCCTTATCCTGCGCCTTTCCTGCCTTTTCAGAAATATGTGCAGAACATCCTGCAGGAGCAGCTGGCTGGATCCATCTACAAGGCATTGAAAGAGCAGGGCGGCCACGTCTACGTGTGCGGCGACGTCACCATGGCTGGGGACGTCCTGAAGACCATCCAGTACATTGTCCAGCAGCAGGGCAAGATGGCCCCCGAGGAGGCCAGCGCTTTCATTAGCAAGCTAAGGGTGAGCAGCCAGTTCCCAGCATCCTGCAAAGCCACCGGTATCCTGCCCGCTCCGCTGAGATTCTGGATCCCTTCCAGCTTGAGGGCCAAATCCTGTTTCAGAGAAGCTCCTGGCTCTGCACTCCAGTGGCAAGCATGGCCCAAGGCAGAAGGAGCTTGGCCAAAATGCTAAGACATTGCAGTTCGAAAGCTTTGCCTGCCAGGAATTGTGGTGGTGTGGTTAGAGCATCGGACTTTCTCAGGAGAGCCAGGTTGAAGTCCATGAATGTCCATGAATGGCCGGGCTCTGACTCTCGGCCTAGCCTACCTCACAAGGTTGTTGTGAGTTAGGAGGGGGGCCATATAAGCTGCCTTGGATTTCTTGCAGAAGGAAAAATGGTGGGATATAAATGCAATTAACTGAATAAATGAATGAAGGAATGAATGAATGGATGGCATTTCGAACTTTTAAAGTGGGAAGAAAAAACCCCATGCAAATACCAGAAAATCACCAATCTTTCAGTAGTCAGGAAAAGGCCATGGGACATTGGTGAGACACTCTGGGCAATCTAAGAAGGCTTCATCTACCCCTCGTGGCAGAGCAGCTGTCCCTGCCCCAGCCTGCCAGGACCAGCAGTGGTGACATCACTGAGGACCCCACGGGGCATGCGGGGTCCCTGCAAACATGCTGGATTGACAAATACTAGAGAACAGGCCCATGCCCCGAGGAGCTTCCAAACTAGCATGTAGCCCATGTGGCTAAAGCATAGGAAGTGGAGCAATGTATTTGATGTTGTAAGCTGCCCCGAGGCCTTGGCAAGGGGCGGCATAGAAATGTTTTAATAAATAAATAAAATAAATAAAAACCAGAGGCAAACACAGGAAGCCTGTGCATTGATTTCAAACCCAAACTCCGCCTAAACCACCATGGGCCCAAGGACCTAATCCACCCCTCTGGAGTTCCCAGAGTAGTCTCCCAGGATCCCCAAGATGGGCACGCCCCCTTCACTGACCTCTGATCATTTGGGGTGTTCACATGCCCTTCTAAGGCTTAGTTGCCAAAAGGAAGGCCTTTAAGATACAGCAGGCTGGCCTTTTAGGCCCTTGCTTGCCTTTGGCTTCACCCATCCCTGGACTGCAGGCTCCCGTAATTGGTTCCTAGCACTACTTTAGCTTTAAACTAAACTCTGCTGTTAACTGGGGCTCACCCATTTTGGACCTGGATTGCACCCAGCCCCTGGATTGCAGCTCTCCAGGAGCTGCTCTGAAATTGAATTTGGCCCTTGGACTGAAAGATCCAGCACCTTGGACCCAACCCTTCTTTAGCGCCTCTTTAGCGCCTGCACCGACACCTTCAGCCTTGAGCATCTCTCTGCCCACCCTTTCACTGTATCCCATTTTGCAGGATGACAACCAGTACCACGAGGATATATTTGGCGTCACTTTGCGCACATACGAAGTGACCAACCGCCTCCGATCCGAGTCGATTGCGCACATCGAGGAGAGCAAGAAGGACACGGATGAGTGAGTTACCCCCTGGCCTTTCCCTCATCCCTGCTAACCGGCACTTTTATTTCCTCCCAGCTTGGGCTGGAGAACAGAATCCCCTTTGTTGCGCCAAAGCACTGGGGGCAAAGCTTGCTGCTGTTCTTTTCTGTTTCATGCAAAGAGTGGGTGATGATTGCTACACAAATTCTTCAGGGTTTAACTCTCCTTTCTTGCAACGAAGCAGAGGAGCTAAGCAGATGGTGTTGCAGGCTGACCTTCCCTGGTTCCATCTGCAGCATTTGCAGTCAAATGATCTCAAGCAAAATAAAGGCCTCTTAACTGGAGTGGAGCAGCCTAGAGTAAGCTAGGAGTGACAGGATAAAGCCAGGAGCCAGAACCGGAGAGTAAGTCAGACCCATGAGTTTGGGAAGACCTTGTTTCTCAGCCAGGAAGTCCTCTAAACAGTCTAGATCTTCTATTGAGCAGGAGGGATGATATGGTCCATGGCTGGATTGCCAGGCACTTTGGCTACTGCTGCCTCATTTCTCTTTGAAGTATCCCATGGACCCACCCTCATTCTGCACCAGTCAGAGTTGCAGGTCGTCTTCCAGGAAAGGAGCAGTTCAGGAGCAGTTCTCTTCCTTTCCTCCCTCCCTTCCACTCCCACAGACTCAGATAAAACTTTAGAAGGATAGTCCTTTAATGCAGTGGAACAGTTTGCAAAACAGCATAAAGGGTTCCCTGTGAGATGTAGGGGAAGCATCTGCCCCTATGAAGAGCTGAATCCAAATGGGAACTCCCTCTCCTTCCCTCCCTTTCCAAAAAGATGCTGACCATCTTCAGGGTGGTCCCTGCCACTTGCAGGCAAAATGGCAGGAAGGCTGGAAACTTCATATCTGGGCCGCTTGTTTTGCTGGCCATCTCCTGACTGGGTCAAGGAATTCTCTTCCAATCTGCAAGTTCAGAAATGTCTCCCTGGTTTTCCACAGTGGGCTGGTTCTCACAGTCTGAGAATCTTCACTGCCTGGTTGTCTGCCTATCTCGGCCTTTCCACTTCTCAGAATCAGAGAGATCTAACAGAGCAGACTGTAACTGTGAGAGTTGGAGCCCCTCTCAGAATCATGCATGAGAGTAATCCAATCAGGAGGTTATGCCAGGAACTTGCAGCCAGCACTGTGGGGTCAAGATCGACAGGGTCTGGTGGTGATGCTGGAGAAGAGGGCCAAGAACTGGAGACTCGCAACGCTGAAGAACTGGTCCTGCTTGCCCTCAGCAGATTTTGGCTTACCTTGCTGACTCAAGAGCACGCCAAGTCTGGGGAGGGAAAGGGAAACAGGTGGCTTCTTCTTTTAAAGGAGGCTATGATCTGTGTGTGTGTGTGTGTGTGTGTGTGTGTGTGTGTGTGTGTAAGGGCAAAGAAATGTGCAGAAAACACAGTTTGCAGAAATTGCAGCGGTATTTTAAGCAACTTGTGCAAACCGCAGTTGTATTTTATGCAAGTTTCCTTGCCTTAAAACAAAACAAAATGTACACAAATCACAGACCACTTAAAAAGGAGAAAACCACTTATTGTCTTGACTGGTGTCAGAGCAACTTGGCGCCAGCCCTAGGCAGACGAGCAACATTTGGAAGATCACCGACCCTTAAATATTTCAGAATCTGCAAGTCCTCTGGCACCGGGCATTCCTGATGCTTCCAAGGTGTTTTTCCCAGCACCAGATTCCAACACTGCACTGCCATCTGCTGCCCAATTACTGTTCCTGCCATTCAGTCCAGCCTCCCTATTCTTGCCTCCTCTTAAACTGGCCATTCCTGGGGTTCCGCTCCATGATTTATCTTGCTGCAAAGTTCAGGAGCAGAAAAGGAGTCCCAGGCAGGGCTGTGTGTGCTTCCAGGAAGGTGGATTTCTTTTTGCAGAAATCTCCCCCACACACAAACACGTCCCCGCTCCCTAAAATAGATGGGAGCCTGCCTTACATATACGAACAGTGCAGACTGCTTTCTACTGAGCCAGGCAGTGGCTCCATCAACCCAGGATGAGAGCCCTGACTGGCAAGGCCAGTCCTCAGTTTCAGGTGGACCTCTCAGGATGTAAGCAGATGCTGGAGATGGAACCTTGGGCATTGCATGCAAACCGGTTGCTCTACCACTGAGCCTAATGCATCCATACATAGAGATATGCTCACACATTATTATTAATAATATCTATTATTATTATTATTATTATTATTATTATTATTATTATTATTATAACATTTCTATTATTATTATTATAACATTTCTATTGCACATTATTCTATTAATAATATCTATATGCTGCCTTCTCTGCTTAAAAAGCCATCCATTTAAAACAAAGTCATAATAAAAAGATGTTTCCAGCATCCCTTGCAATCCACTCCACTGGGCCCAGCAACACAAAGTCACTGTTTTAAACAAGTGATAAGCATCCAAGTAAAAACATGAATGCCTTTGTGTTTATGAAATTCCTATCCTGCCCTTTATTTATTATCTATACATGTATTTATAGGCTGCCTATAACTGCTGAGGCCTTTTCTTCCTGCAAGGCACCTAAGGTGTTTTTCTTAATCCTCCTCATTTTTTCCATTTTATCTTCACAACAACCCTGTGAGGTAGGTTGGGCTGAGTCAGCGACTGGCCCAAAGTCACCCATTGTGTTTCAGGACCAAGTGGAGAACTGAACCGCGGTCTCCCAGTGCAACACTTAAAATGCTAAACTGAAGAGATGCATCTTCATATCTTTTTTCCAAGCCAAGAGAATGCCGAAATCATTGCTTTCCAAGCAGTGCCTTAGGCCCCTTCACACATGACCGACAACTGGCTTCTGTGGGTACTGGCACCCCAGAGGAGCCTGTCCTGAGAATCCCAAAAAGTGGGTAGGTTCATAGGAAGGCAGGCAGTCCTTTAGGGAGCCAGCTCCTAAGCCAACTAGAGCTTGCATATTTATAGCAGTGGCAACCCATCTCGAACTGGCCTGACTTGGTAACAGATGGATGAACAGAAAAACCAATAGATAAGCACCTATTTTACACCTATGTGTTAACACAGTTGAAAATTCTCTGGTGGAGTTCCAGGAATTCTCCATTCACCCGCCTCTCACCCTGTTTCCACCTCCAAACCTCTTTTCAGAGGCTTGCTTCAAAAGCCACAGGTTTCACTTGTAAAAGAAAAGGAATCAGGCAAGGCCACCACACTGAAGCAGAACTGATGGATTAAACTGACAAGGAGACTTTCGTCCCGTACAAGTAGAAATTGCTGGCAAGGGCGAAATGGGCATGAAGGTGCTTGCTTTGGATCGGAGGGGAACCCCAGGTGACATGGCCACGGATGCTCATCTCTTGTGCTCAGCCATGGCCCTGCGTTGCTATTCCACTGGCGCCAAAATGCAGGGCCCCGCTGTGTGGTGAGATGGCGGCTCGATCCGCTCACAGGATAGACAGAACGACCTGGCACTGGGGGTGCGGGTGTCGGCGTGTGTTGTGGGTGGCTCAGCTGCCTTCCGGAGGAGCATCACAGTGATATTCATGTAACTCAGGGGCAGGCGCACTTGTGAAGGCAGTCGGTGCCCGTGTGGAGGCAGATTCCCTCCTTCGAGAGGCTCACAAGCGCTTTGCGATGCATGGACGTTCTTGGCCCTAACCACTGCCTCTCTTGCAGGGTGTTTTGTTCCTAACCTTGCTGCCCGAGATGGGATGCCAAGCCAGGCCAGCCGCAGCAGGGGCTGGCTCTGTACTGACACCCCCACATCCGCTCCTTTTCTCCAGGGATGTGACGGCCCATGACAAGCGCTCGCCTGTGCCTCGCCCCGTCGTGTCCTGAGGGGACGCCTCTTGGCTGATGGTGATGGAGGAGTTGACGGCGATGCTGCTGCTGATATTCTTTTCCCCTCCGTGCATCCTGTGGCAGTTTCTCTTATCTCTGTGTGCCCTTCTCCAGAGTCCTCTGCTGATGTGTGATGGCTTTTAACAACCTGCCGCGGCTCTTACAAACACATACAAACCCACACCTTCCCTTCCTCTTGTCAGCGACAAGGCCGGGGGCCCTGGGGGTGGTTGCATGCGATCACCATCATCTGCATCTTCTGGCGTTCCAGCGGGGCAGGGTCCGGGGATCGAGGCCGCCTTCCCGTCAAGGAAGCCGCAGAGAACTGGGGACTTGCTGCCCTGTTTGGCAAAACCCTCTGGCTGGCATGATTGGCTTCAAGCAGTGGGTCCAGCTTCTCCCGTCCCTTTTGTTCTCTGTCCCCTGGCGGGAAAACTGGCCAACGGCTGCTCTGATGACTTTGCCCGTGTGTAGCCTCTCCATCCCCTACAGGATGGGGGACTGCTCTCTGTTGAACAGGTAACGGTCTCCCCGTTCATCAGCATGCTGTGTTCTGATTGCACTGTCTTAATGTACCTGCGTCCCCACGTCTCCTCTCCCCGTGCCTGCCTCCTCAGCCCTCTGCGGTGTGGCTCAGCACCAGTGTTGTGATCACAAAGGGGGTAGATCTTGTGGAGTCTTGCTAGGACTAAGAGCATACGGGAGATCCTTCTAGGAACGTTTTGCTCCGTTTACTCCCTGGGAGGGGGCGTCTCGCCTTGGTCCTCCTCCACAGGACAGAAAGAGCAAGGACTGTGCCAAGCGACTGCTTCTGTGGAGCCACAGACCGTGGGCCAAGAAGCCACGGAGAGGAATGGCCAGGCTTCCCAGGCCTCCCGGCGCTCCGCTCCTCCACCCCACTTGGCTGCAGGGCCGTTGTTTCCAGCACAGAAACGCTGCTTGCTTTGTAAGCTGATGCCTATGCGGATTTAAGGGGGCACTTTAAAACGAGCCAGGTGGACATGGCAAAGTTATACAGGCAGGCTTGCCAGGGCATCCCAGTTAGGTGCACCAACCGGTGCAGTGTCCTTCTGGAAGCAACTCCAGGCCGGTCTGCAGGATGAGTGAAATTGCCCACTGTGGACTCTCTTGTGGCAAAAGCCGCCAAAGGCGCTGCTCCTCTGCCCCACTAGCGCTAGGCCCAAGAGCACCTCTGGTCCGGCCCATCTGCAGATGAGGGAGAAATGGCCCAAGGGCAGATCCCTGGCCCAAAGGCCTCTGGGAAGTCTCTCTTGGCTCTCCACCAAGTTCCTGACTCATCAAGACCAAGTGGGAGAGGCTCCATGCTTTTTTCGGGATCAGGAATGGGCAGAGGTGTTTCTAGGCCTGAGCTGGGACACTCAATTTATTTTCCAGGGCTTCAGTTCTCTTTGCCTCAGCACTGAGTGCTCCTTGCTGCCAATGGAAAGGGAGTTTCCTCATCAGCTTAACTGCTAGGACAAGATAGCCATCTTGGGAGGTCGTCTGCCCTGAACTGTGGCTGAGAAATAGAGGGCTTCCTTCCCATCCCCTGGCAGTCCATGGGTCAAGAATCCACACATGGGCTGTTTGAAGCTATTTCCTGGTGGCTCACGACCCTAATAAAATTATTAGCCATGATGGTTATCAGTAAGTTTCACAGAAAGACGTTTTTAAAAATTGTGCTAAAAATAAGCCCAAACTATATGGTTATATGTGATGTACAATAATGTGGCAACTAAGCTGCTGAAAATGAAGATTACTTTGAATCTGTTCTTGCAGAAGAAAATGATGACTCTAACCTGGTTTGCAGACAACAGCCTGAGTATAGGTTGAATATAGTTTGCTGAATTGTGGTTTAACATTGAATCATGGGTTATAGTGTTGTTAACCACAAGCAACCCAGGATTCATGACCCAAAAACAAACCATGTTTTTTCTTCTTAATCACAAACAGTGCATAGCTAAACCATAAAGCAAGGGTCCACATGTAACAATAATCCCCTGATTCCGGAACAACCCGTATCCAACCTGTACTCGAGTTTGTCATCGCACTGGAATCAGGCCAATGAGTTTTATGATTAAACCTGCTTACATGCTTTGAATGAGTTGAAAAGCTTTTGAGAAAACTTTGTATTTTGTTGTTTTTGCGCATTTGTGAATGTAGATTATGGTAGCAACATACCAGCATAATAAAAAGTATTGTCATTGAATCAAGTGATCCTTCGTTTCCATCTCTCCAGCTTAGGCAATATAGAATACACGGCATTTGTCTTATTTATTTATTTATTTTGGTCACTTCTTGCTCACATCTATTAAATGTACTCTTCAGCCATTTTGGTTTTTTGCTTCTTTCATTTCTTCCTCTTTTTGCACAGAATTAAGGATGTCATCCTACCGGATCCCAACTTTATCCAGGAGACTGAGGGATTTGTTGGAGTCTGCATGCTTTAGGCTGAGCTTCTACCCTGCTGCTTCGCAGCCAGCCTAGGAAACGTCCTGCATGCTTCCCACCCTCGGAGTCGGAGGTGAATCTTGGGGAGGGGGAAACAGGCTATGCTGGGGCCACGAGTTGGGTTAATTCCAGCAGGTAGGATTGTGACATAGCTCAGCAGAATCCGTCCCTCCAGTATTTGCAGACTTCTCATGCCTGGCCCTGTCCTAGAAAGCAAGCCAAGCCAAGGGCAGACCTGTGGCCAGAATTCAGTTCAAACGGCTCAATTTCTGGTGAGAGCCACACGAATCCTGGGCACATCTGCCAGGAACTCGAACTCACAGCCACACAAAGCAGAGCTGAGACCGGGGAAGTGAGCCCAGGGAATCCAGTGGATCCTTCTCTTGTCCCTCTCAGCTGGTGTCCCACTCTCCTGGCTTTTGCTTTGCCAGCACCACAGCTAGACAGCTGAAAACCACTGGCTAGATAAAATCCAGGGGGCAAGACACAGCTGCGTCGGAGGCTGTGTCTGCAGTGTCACACTGCTTACACTGGATGCTCAGAGGGCTCGACGTGAGTGGCTTTTGAACATCTGCCCCAAGGACAAGAGGGTTGCGCCCGAAGTTGGTTTTGGGGTGAAAACTAGAGGTGGTCAAAACAGCTGCTATTTACTAGGGTTACAGGTCTAAATTAAATCCTTCAATATGGTAGAAAGCACCCCAATTAGCACTAGGGATGTGGCAGAAATCTGTAACAGGTTCAGATCAGTCTGGATTCCCATGACTCCAACCATCATGAACCAGTTTGCTCCTACTCTTTCCCAGTGTTCCCAGGGGAACACTCCGTAACTAAAGCCTTTATTGTGTTAAAGCTGGCCAGCGAGATTGAAAATAGCCTGCAAATCTGCATGCATGATTTCCCACAGATTTGGCACCCTTCTTTCTGTGATGCCCCCCATCAAATTAGTACTTTATGCATCTTTTCTAGTGAGTTTGAACTCTCTTGGACCCTGACTGAGCAAAGAAAGTGGAATCTATCGCCCTGGGTGAAGTTTCACATATTTTTGGTTAGTAAGATGTGCACTTTCTTGTTACTATCTCAGTACCTGATAATTTCCTTAGGGTCACAATGAGCATTCAAAAAACAAAGATGATCCGTTTTATTCTCAAGGTTAGCCCCACCTTCCTTTTGGACACACAGAATTTTATCCCTGCCTGGCAATTAAGCTTAGGAAAAGCAATTTCTTTTGTGACTTGCAAGGGATGGTCAATTGCTATGTAGGGGGTGGGGGGTGGGTCTGAAAGGGGGCTACAATTAAGACAGAAGGAAGGGTTCACTCAACCCTCCCTGCATGATCTATCTATCTGCCCATGATGGTCGGAAGAAACTTCCTATTGTGACAGTTTGGTGGCCATTTCCTCCGGGAGGGAAAGAAAGAGCAAGAGGGTGGGGGAAAGAGAATTGGGATCCAGCTCCCTGCCCTGCATTGTAGTTTAAGGAGGGCAGGTATTGTGTGCTGGGGCAGGGAAGATTGCCTGCCCCTCCTTCGTTCGCTAGCCTGCAATCTTCTCTTTGCTCATCTAGAAGCCCCCCGGCCCTTTTGAAACTGAACTGTGCAGCACTATCTTGCACTGCATTAATGGAACAGACATTACTTCCATTCAAAGCAGGTTGTCAGTGGGAACGTGGGTATAAACAGGGGGTGACGGCCCCGATTCACTTGTCTGCTTGCTTTGGAATTAGCACTCTGTCAATATTTTTGAAACTCCAATCTGCTGCCCAGGCTGTCGCTTTTAGGGATGTGTTTGGAAGAACTCCCGCAAAACGCAGCAGCAATGCTGCCGGCTGCACCATGCGCCTGTCTTTCCTCGCTTGTCACGGCCATTAGAACCTAACTGTGGCAAGGGGATTTGGGGTGATCTCAGTGTGAGATGCAAGAGGTGTGATTTGGATTGGAATGATTAAGATAGGAAATGGATTGGCTGGCTTTGCCTTCTGTGAAGTTTACGTAAACCTTCACCCTCATGCAGGAGGCACAGATAGATGTAGCTGCTGATAAGCCCCCATAAATTTATCCACCCCACTTCTCTTTTGAAGGCCTTTCAGGGTGACATCTTGTGCATGTTTGCACAGCACTAAGAAGTCCTACAACTCCCAGCATTCCAGACCCAGCCGGGGCAAGAAAGGAATCCTGGAACTTGTCTGGCATTTTTCCTTGCCTAAGCATGCCTTTGACCACAGGGCAACTTGCATGGTGCAGATGATGGTGGTGGTGATGATGAGGATGATGATGTACATTACATTTCTAAACTGCCTATAGCCAAGCTCTCTGGGCGGTTCACAATATTTTAAGTCATACATCCAGATTTTAACCAGGCCCAACTCTGTTTTGCTTCCGAGATTAGGCAAGGAGTATATGTATTTATTCTCTATTGTTGTTATTAGGTTTGTCTTCAGTCTACTGTTGCTGAGGGCAGAAGGACATGCACCATTAAATACTTAACATGCAGCTAGTGTAGGCACTTCTGTTCCTTTGTGTAAGGGTGCAGTGCCCTCTTCTGGATTGGGACCACTGTGCGTGAAGTAGGTGACGGTTCCCAGACCCTTCACAAAGCAGATGGCATGACCCCTCTCTGCCTGAGAACCTGCGGAGCTTCTGCTTGGCTATGCAAATCGTTCTGAGCAAATTGCCTGATCTAGGACAAGGCCGCCGTCAATATTCTTCTCAGATTCAAACCTGTGTGGGGATTGCCCCACCCTGTGTCTAAAAAATGGAGAATCAGTGGATGTCTCCCTTGTGCAGAATCACAAATCCAGCCCACCTGGGGTCCCAGACCCCCAATTCTCCTGTGTCCAATCAAATAGAGCTCAGTTTTCCATGTTTGTACATTTCCCCTCATTCCAGAAGGATGAAATGCTGTACTTGAGGCTTGGCTATGGGCAATAAGAGCTGTAAGTTAAAATATCTCACAGCTGTAAGTTACAATATCTTGTTGTGAGCCGTCCAGAGATGCAGAGTGATGGACAGCCCAGAAATATCCCAAATAAATAAATAATCCTCGTATTTTGATCCCAGCAACTGCCAGAAAGTGGTCCCTGAGAGCTTCTTCAAGATGGAGTGTAGCCTTTGGGAAAACAGAGCTTCAATGCCCCTGGACCAATGGCATTCCTCAGTTCCTAGCCTAAATAAATAAAATTAAAACATAACTGACAACCAAAATCAGTAAAGAGGCAAAACAGCAGTAATACCTAAACATAGCCTCTATGTAGAGCATAACAATCTGTGTTCATTGAGCCTCAAAAAGTGTTCTGGGAAAGAAAAACAGCTGCCAGAAGGACAGCAGAGAGTCCTGCCAGCCTGGGAGAGCATTCTAAGGCACTGGGGATAACACAGAGAAGGCCCTGCTATGTAGCCTTTCTGTAAAATGGGAGTCTGGAATGGAATTGTCCCAGAAATGTACAGGTGGGGTAAGTGGTTCCCCAGAGAGTGCCCACAAAGCCTGAACTTCAAAGGAGCTGTCCATGGTAATGCACCAGGTTCAGCACCATGGACAGCTGCTTTTCAGCTTTAAGCCACATTCCCTGCCGCTGGGCAAAGAGCTGGGCCTGGTACACATTTCCTTCCTGGCGCTTGCTCAAATGGTGTGTGTGTTTCCTTAAGAAACAGCAACTTTCCAACATAAATTTCAGAATCCCATTGTGCCAAAGTATGGAGGGGTGAGGGTTCCTGGGACCTTTACTTTTTTTCCCTAAAAACGTAATGTATTACACCTGCTAGTTGTGTTTAGACAGCATTCCATGTGCATTTACCTGGGACTAATCCCAGGTATATACACTGAGGCTGGCATCTGATGGTTGAAACCTTTTTATCCCCTTGAAGTAGCTGTTATTATTATGTTTATATTTATTTATATCCTGCCTAATCCCAGAGATTGGGACTCTAGGCAGCTCACGACATTAAAATTCACACTATTAAAACATTCAAAAATATACAAGAGTTAAGAATAAAACGAAAATAGCATTAAATTAATTAACTGTTGAAATTAAATCACTATCTGGATTAGAAATACTACAAAAATGTAAACAGTGGAACTAACCCAGCACAAATTCATAGGTTTGTCCAACTGCCTGCTGGAATAGACATGTTTTTGCCCACTTACAGAAACATAACAGGAAGGGACCAACTGAGCCTCCCTATTATTTATTTGTTTGTTTATTTAGGAGACTTCTATGCCACCCCATTTGCCGAAGCCTCGGGGCGGCTCACATTCCCTAGCAAGGGAATTCTAGATCCTTGGGGCAGCCACTGACCAGACCCTTCCCACGTTCCCACCAAGCATGTTTGTGAGGGTGGTCAGCTTCCCCAGAAGATCTTAGAGCCCACATAGGTTCGTGCAGGAGAATTATAAGTCCTTATCATGCCTTTGTATTTAAAAGAACAAACGCAACCTGTCGCCTTGCAAAAATCAAATAAAACCAGCGCACTGTGATCACGTCACATCATTTACCCACCCTGGAGTAGCTACTGCGGTTTTCCTGGGCGCACACTCCACTGCCGAGAGAGGGGTTTGGCTTTTAAGCAGTCGCAAGGTTACCTGGGGAGATGTTTATTGCACATGTGCCCGTGCTGCGTGCACATGCGAATGTTGGCCATCTCTGCATCCCCATATGGACCATTGGTCTTCTGTGGGATTGAGAAAGAGGAAAGTGGAAGAGGGAGGGATGGAGAAAAGGCAGGAAATCGCATCAGGCCAAGTCCATGAGGTCTGGCTCTTCTTTTATGTAAATATTGCAATGGCTTGATGGTGTATTCCTTTGATTTGGTAGCATGACTCACTGCTTAGAGACATATTGTGGCATGGATACTCAGTATGCATGATTGAAACAACTTATAGTTTATT